CATGAGTCCTTTCTGGAGCCTCCCAATGGGGCTGCCTGGCCCCCTCTCTGCTCCTCCGTTTCGTTATCATAAGATCCAGATAATAACAATGCTCCCCTCGTGGGTGAAATGAAGAGCTGATCTGTGTAAGGCTCTGGCATAGTTCATCCTCCAGGGATGGGGTTCTCATTGCTGCTCCAGGCAGCCCCATCTGTTGTGGAGTGGTGACCTATTCTGGGGGACAAGGGAGGAAGTCAAGGAAGGGTTAACCCAGGATCTCATCAAATGTCTGAAGATGCGACTCTCCAGCAACATGGCCAACTCCAGGCCCCTTTAAGAGGTCTTAGGCCCACGGGGAACTAAGAAGTTCCTGATTCTGGAGCTTCCCAGTCATCTGGCCTTAGGAAACCAGTCTTTTTTGCCTCCCAACGTTTTTTTGGTGAGGAAGATTAGCCCTGAGCTAACATCTGTGCCAGTCTTCCTCTAATTTTTGTATGTGGAATGCCGCCACAGCATGGCTGACGAGTAGAGTAGGTCTGCACCCAGGATCCAAACCCATGAATCCAGGCCACTGAAGTGGAGCACGTGGAACTTTAACCATGTGGCCACAAGCCGGCCCTGCCTCCTGGCTTTTGCAAGCTCTTCCACCACCTCCACCTGCACACACCTCCTATTGGAAGTCCTCTCAGATTACCCAGGTCAAAACCAATCCTGCATTCTGTTGGTTCACCCAGATCCAGACCTCTTGTGTTGTTTGATTATCAACAACACATGTGGCTTTTCCCCAGCCTTGAAGGCAGTGAATGATGCAAAAAGGGACAGTGGGCACGGCACTGTGGAAATGGTTCTCTGCTGGTTTCCAATCATGAGTGACCCCGAGCAAGCCGCCTCTTCCCCAAACCTCAGTTTTCCCATCTTCCTAATGAGACCTCCAAGGACCCTAGAGCTGTGCTGTCCACTATGGTTACACTATTTTTTTATTTATTTTTATGCTGAGGAAGATTTATCAAGCTAACATCTGTGCCAGTCTTCCTCTATCTTGTATGTGAGATGCTGCCACAGCATGGCTGATGAGTGGTGTAGGTCTGCACCCGGAATATGAACCCATGAACCTGGGCCACCAGGGCCGAGCACGCCAAACTTAACAACTACACCATGGGGCCAGCCCCTGGTTACACCATTTAAATTAAATTCCAATTAATGAAAATTAAGTAAATTTTAAAATTCACTTCTTCAGTCACACTAGACACATTTTAAATGTTCAACAGCCACAGGCAGCTAGTGTCTGCTGTAGTGGGCAGTGTGAATACAGAATATTTCCATCATCGTGAAAAGTCCTGTTGGACCACAACGCCCTAGATGCTAGGGTACTGAAGGACAGACTTCTGCCTCCAGCCCACTGCAGGAAGTGGCCCTACAGTCCCAACTGCAGCCCTCACTGGTGTGGCTCTGGGTGCAAGCCCTGGGCGAGCCACTGTGAAGTGCACAGAATAAGTCTGTCCTGCCGAGAGGGCCCTGGAGAGGGTCCTGAGGCACTGAAGAGAGAGCTGCGAAGTGTGAGGGTGGCCAGGGTCCTGGGGAATGTGGGCTCCCTGGGAGTATCCGCACGGTGCTGGCAGTCTGAGCAGTGAGCAGAGGCCCTGTGGGCAGCGGTCAGCCAGGCAGGCGGCTGGGCCAAGGGGCAGGTGCAGGCAGGTTAGTGGACATGCAGGGGCACTGCAGTCAGAGGGGGGTTAGGAACACGCCTGCACTTACATGATGACGGTTTTCTTGGGGACTTTAGTCTCTTGCTCAGTGACTACAAAGAAAACAGTTGGAATAGCAAGGATTACAGATGAGCCAGCACTCGGAGGCTGAGCTGTCTGAGTGGCATGGCAGTGTGGCAACCTGCTCAGCTTAGGAGTGCTGGATCCAACCCTGTCTGGCTGTGTGCTCCTGGGAGGGCTGCCTCAGCTTAGAGCCCCAGTTCCTTCACCTTTGACATGGAGGTGACAATGCCTGCCCTGAGTGCCTGGGGGATAGGAGATATGACAGCAATGCGCCCCACATGATAGTAGGCCCCTGTCCCTCGTGAGGGTCTTGCAGAAGCTTCAGGGAGAGTAAGGGCCCTGCTGCCCACACAGAAACCCCAGCTTCTCCTTCAGCGCATGTGGTCAGGAACCCTGTGAATGTGTCAGGCCTAAAGTCCCACTTCTCAGACAGAAACTGAGGCCTAGAGAGGCAGGAGGAATAACCTGTGGTTGCAAGGTGAACCAGCAGCCAAACTGGGACTGGGATGGCTGATGCCTGTTTTACAAAAAAGTCCTAAAGACCGAAAACCATCACTCGAGGGGAGAACGACTCTGGGGTCTTAGAGGTAGCGCATCTGGGCTCCACAGCATGAGGCCACAGAGATCCTACTGGGAGCAACCTGAGGATGCTGGGCAGGATCCCGAGCTCCAAGTGAGCAGGGAAAGCCAGGTCTTCCCATCGAGCACCCCACAGACTCAACTGTCTCTTTTGATTCTCCTAGTTTCCTCCGCCCTGGAGCCAGTAGGATAGGGCCTGTGGTTCCCATTTTGCAGACAGGGGACCCAAGTCCCAGAGACAGGGCAGGACTCATCTGGGTCCAGGGAGCACTACTCTTCCCCTGCATCTCCTGGGCAGGGTCAGTCTTGGCACAGAGATGCCCCCTTCCAGCCTTGCCCAGCTGGACAGTAGGCATTCCACCAGCTACCAGTACCCTCACATCCCAAGAGCCCCCTCACCATCCTGCAGGGAAACTGAGGGGGAGGCTCAGAAAGTCAAATGGTGTGGCCTGGGGTACAGGCCTCCTGCTTCCTGGTCTGGGGATTTTCTGCTTTGCTGCAGTGCCTCATAGAGGAAAGCTTTCCCTGAGATGACCAAGAGTACAGGCCCACCTTGTTTTATCGTGCTTTGCAGATATTGTGTTTTTTATAAGACCCTCCACCGGCAAAAGGATTACGACTTGCTGAAGGCTCAGGTTAGGTGCCTTTAGATGTCTCTGATTAGGTGCACGTGAATTAAATGTACTCGCTGTGTGTGTGTGGCACACGGGAACCACATTTATGATGTGCATATATGCATGCACACACATGTGTATGGCATGCACTCCTATGTATTTGTGTGCATGCATACATGTGTGCGTGCATGTTTGTGCAAGCTGCCTCCTGAAGAGGGCAGCATACTGGGAGAGACGGGATCAAGTCAAGATGCCCTGTGTGTTTAGACTAAGTTGGGCCCAGAGAGAGCCAGTCTGTTGGTGGCCTGTAGGCCAGACCCCGTGCGTAGAGCACTGGGAGAACCCAGGACGCCTTCCCTCATCCTCCTGACCGGGGCCCCGTTCTGCTGCTCTTGGCAGTGGTGGCCAGGGCACCTCTGGGCTGCTACACTCCTGACATCTTTGCTCCTGAACTAACCTGCCGCCTGATGGGTGCTGGGCCACGTGAGTGCTGGCAACTACAGGAGGGGAGCAGCTGTGCGAAGCAAGGCTGCAGCCGCAGTTCACAAGCTAGGGGGCGGCGCCCACCCCCAGGGCCAGCCAGGGCCCGTGCTGGCTGCGGCCGCCAGGTTAAGGATGAAGCGGCAGGATAGGGTTAGGAAGCAGGAGGCGGCGGGCTCCAACTCCGGGGTCTGCAAGGACCGGCCTTCTCGCCGCAGGAGGCACCAACGCCGTTCCCAGCCTCCATGGCCTTGGGACGTTGACAGAAAGAGACCCATCACGATAACGAAGTGAATGGCTCTGTAGCGCACACTTGTCACCAGCTGAGAGGGAGCGCCAAGGTCCCCGCTCAGCACCTCCCTGACATGAGACGCCACGTGGCAGGAAGCTGAGGCGCCGTGGACACCGTGGGCCTCCAGAGGGCACAGGCTCTACCAGTGCTGGCTGCCCTCTGGGGGAGGGAGGGGTCTCCGTGAGGGCCCTGGAGGGCGCTAAGGGCCCCGAGGCAGGGCTCCGGGTGCCAGGTGGCCCGACTCTGTGAGTGTCCAGATGGACAGCGGCCCCCAGACATTGGGCCCTGGGAGGACTGGATCCAGTGGCCCAAGGCATCACAGAAGCCAACTTCCAGGACTTGGGAGGACACGTATCCCAACCCATCCTACTGTGAGAACTGCAGCTCCACCAGGTGTTGGTCCAGCCTCTGCTTGCATGCCACCAGGGACAGGAGGCAGGCCACCCACCCAGGCAGCCCCTTCCAGGTGGTGCAGCTCAGACAAAGAGTAGCTCTCCCTGGGGCCGCAGCCTGCCCTGCGAGCCCTGTAAGGCTGCTCCCTCGGACCGAGCAAGCCCAGGACAGACGCCAGGTGCCCTCCTGCCTTCGTGGCCATCCCTGAGCTGGGCCAGCTAGGACCCTGGAGCCCAGGTGTGAGTCAAGGCATGAGCATCTCACCCCCCTTCACCTCCTGCGCAGGAGCACACTCTCCCTGGAGAGACCACTCTGCAGCCCAGCCACCATCCAGGACCCCAGGGGGGATCCAGGCTAGGACGGGGAGGCCCAGCCACAGTGGTCTGTCCTCTCCATGGCCAGCCCCACCCGGTGTGGAGGGACCAGGCCCCTGAAACCCGCTCCCTCTCCTGGGAGCCAACCTGGGACCAACGGCCTTGCTCTGCACTTGGCAGGGGCCCCTTTCATGGAGCCATGCCTCCTACTGTCCCTGCCACCCCTCCCAGAGACATCCCTCACCACCGCCTAGCCGGCAGCCCCAGGTCTAGCCTTTACATGGACTTGTTATTCCCCAAGGGATGGTGAGCAGACTAAGGGACTCCCCACCCTCACAACTGCTCCTCCGTCTTTCTGGGCTCTGGGTTCACAGCCCACCCTTCGCCAGCCCACGCTTAGGGGCCGGGAACCAGCAGTTGCTCTGCAGCCCCTGCAGCCCCCCTCACCCCCCACCCGCATCCCCCCTCCCCTCCTCTAGGAAGCATGCCCCCACTGGAAGGGCTGGTGGTCTCACCCTCCCGGCCCTGCCCAGGTGCACGGAGGGTCCAGCCCTGCCCAGACCAGCAGCGCAGCACTTACCTTCCACAGCAGCCAGCTGCTCCCTGCGGCGCTGTTCCCGGGCCCGCAGTGCCGGGCTCTGCATGGACAGCTCTGCCCCACCCCGTGTGGAGCCCAGCCGGTTCACCAACTGCAGGACGGATGGCAGGGGTCTGCTTAGAGGCCGTGGCTCCCCAGGGGCCTGGGCCATCTCTCTGGGGCCATGCAGGCTGGCTGTAGCATGTGGGGCCCGCCCCGGCTGTTCACAGAGCCCCGACGCCTGGCCACAGGGGAGAGGGTCCCAGCCCAGCCACCATGTCTCCAAGGACACCCAGCACTGCAATGGTGGGGACTCTCTCTGTCTGCACTGTCCAGCGTGGAGGCCGTGGGGGCCCCGAGCACTTGAAAAGGAACCAGATCTTTACCTAGACTTAACTTTCACTGATTCAAATTTAAATCACCATGTATGGACAGCAGTGACCAAATTGGACAGGGTAGGTCCAGAGCTGACTTGGGTCCATCTGTTTCTCTGGGAGCAGCCATGGGGGCAGGTGCCACATGGCCCCCCCAGGCCGCAGGAAGCAGCATCACGGAGGCGGGTAGCCAGGAAGAGCCACAGCCAGCACACAGCTTCCTGGACCACCTGCGAGCCACAGAAGGCCGAGGCCACTCCACTCGGGGCCTTAGTCCGTGTCCCCTCATCATGGACGGTGGGTGAAGTGGACCTGGTGTCCTCTCTTTCATCATAGGTCATGGATGGTGGTGACAACAGTGGGGTCCCCGAGACAGGCTGCCCCAGCGCCCCCTCCTCCTGTGCCTGCCCACCTCACCTCGCACTCATAGTGGCCCAGGTCCTCCTTGCTGGCCGCCCGGATCTCCAGCACCAGCAGGCCACTGCGGGCATCGCTCAGGGGCCGGTACTTGCCCCCGGGGGTCAGGAGGGCTCCATCCTTGTACCACCTGCAGTCAACCCCGGGGTGGTGAGGCAGAGCCTCACCTGTGCTCGGGAGCTTCCCCTCTCCCACTGGCAGACCCAAGTGTCCTAACTGAGCCCACATTCTCTACGCCACACACCCACCCAACATCCAGCTCAGCCAACATCTGCCTTGGTGCAGCCAGGACTGTGTCCAGAATGGGCCTCAGCCCAGCCACACCCACTTATCATCGGGAAGGCTGAGGCTCTGGGTCCAGCCCGCCCCTGACCGGGAGAATGCGCTGCCCCCTTTGTTTCACAGGCGGCAGGGGTGACCCAGGGAAGGCCCACCTCCCCTCCTCCACGTGCCCCGAGCCATGCAGCCCACCTGATCTGAGGGTGTGGGGTGCCTTCAATGGTGCAGGTGACCTGTGCATCCTCTCCCTCCACAAAGGGCACTGCCCGGACCTTCTTCACAAACCGCGGGGGTACTGCAGGGTAGGAGGCGGAGGGTAGAGAAAGAGAGACACACACACACAGAGTGAGAGACAGAGAGACAGAGAGAGAGAGATGGACAGAGAGACAGAGACACCATGATGGAGCAGGAACCCGCACGCACCAGCAAGCCCCTAGACCTTGGTCAGACATGCACACCACCCCTGCCAGCCCCGTCTGCAGGCCCAGGCCCATGCCCCTACTGGGCCTCGGCGGTGGGCTAGGGTCGGGCGCCCACCTTGCACCAGGATCTTGCCGAGGGTGCTGGCATTGCCAGCGGCACTGGCTGCAAAGCACATGTACTGGCCAGAGTCAACGCCAGTAAGGTTGTCCAGGATGAGGGAGCACGAGCCGTCAGGATCTTCGATGAGTATGTGGTGGGGGTCCACCTCTACCGGCTTCCCGTCTGCGAAGGAAGAGGCAAGCTGTTATGGAGGGGACTCCATCAGGGACAAGAGGCTGGGCCTGCCTGGGGCTCACAGTCACGGGTGGTGATGGGGGGCTGCCCCTGGAGCACAAGGCTGTGGGCTCCCCATCGCGGTCCGGCTGGCCTGGCTGACATGGAGCCCTGAATGGAGAGGCGGCACTGACCCACCCCACCGACTGCCCCAGACCTTGGTGCACACAGTGTGGCCTCCGGAAGGCAGGCTTTTAGCTGGAGGCAAGGGCCGGGCTGGGGACCCAAACCCCACAGAGGACATCCCATTCTGACAACCAGACCCTCCTTCACGTGGCCAGCGCCTGTGTGACTCCCTGGGTACCTCCAAGGCGCTGATGCACGCAGCAGAGGTGCTCAGACGTCATCCACCTCTTTAACCACCCTCGTCCGGGTGCCCACCCACCTACATCTCCTGCCCTCACACGTTTCTTCTCGGTGAAGGATGGGGAGATGCACATCTTTCACTACAAAGAACTCTTTCCCCCATAAACATGCAAAATTTCACAGAGAAACACTTTCCAATAGCTCTGCATGTTCTGAACAAGGTTGTTTAAATTGTGACGGTTCTTGACTTCTGATCCACAGGAAATCTTAAGAAACGGTTTTAAGTTATACAAAATAACCCCAAATCCTCCAGGTGCCACCCCACTTCTCTGCGTCCCAGTATCACAATTCCAGGAAAGAGCTGTTCTCACTCCTCATCTCCAGATGCTTCCCCTTCCATCTTCTCTCAAATCCACACCGCCGGCCTTCACTTCGCCCACAAAACAGTTCTCGCCAGGCTACCCGTGACATCTTCCATCCACTGTCAATTCCCAGACCTCATCTTACTGTCACAAATCAGTCCTCTGTGGACCCCGGCATCTCGCATGGCCAGATCCTCCAGCCAAAGGCACCTGCGGCCGGGCCTGGGCTGCTTGTGTAAGGAGACCCCCACGGGCCGTCCGGGGCAGCAGAGACAAAGCTCTCTCCTTCCTTCCCTGGGAGAGGCTTGCCTTCCAGGGCCATGGTCACTTCTCTCTGGAGGGAAGGACGGGCAGATGCACCGGCAGCCCCACGACACCTCAGTGTCAACTAGAATTGGGGGCTTCTCTCTCATGGTGCAGCCCACTGCATGCACCTAAGATCTGGTCCCAGGATGGGGTGACCGGAGTGTGGACCACCCATGCAAGATGCTGCTGCTGTCCTGTGACAAAGAGTCTTGGTCTCCCACCCGAGGGTCTTGCGTCTTTTGTCCATCTCTGGTTGGCAGCTGGCTTGTTGGCTTCCAAGCAGGGAAATACCTCAGATCCTTCACAGTTTCTGATTTGCAATTTTCGGGACAATGGACACTGTCATTCCAGAAGGAAAAGAAGGTGGCCCCTGAATGAGTTAACAGGACTTGAGGGAGGCCCATGGGGCTGTGGTGGACATGCTGACCCAACTGCACGGTCAGCTGGGCAGTAAACAGCCATCCCCTTTGCTGCCTCTGAATGGAGGGACACGGGGCTGGTGGCCACAGTCGGAGCAGTGAGCAGTGGGTCCAGACAGACACCTGGACGGTGCCCTGGCTGACATGCTGTCTCCTTGGAGCCGGGAGGTGCCTTAGGTGGTCCCACTTCCCAACAAATGCTAGCACCAGTGCCGGGCGCAAGGAAGATTCCACATCCTTCGGACCAGGCACAGAAACACACACCCACCCTGGGGGCACAGGGAGGGCTGTCGCCAACCCCGCGGGCAGAAGGCAGGAGCAGGGCTGGAACTCTGAGACACAGGCACCAAACATGCTGAGGGGTTCTTTCCGAGATGACAGTAAAGGAGCCGAGTGTCTGCAGGGGGCCCTGCTTGGGATGTCTCCAACGCAGACAAACCCCATGGGGAACTGCCAATGGCTGGCCTGTGGGCCATGGCACCTGGAGGGCACCTATGACCCCGGTGACAGCTGAGGAAGGAGAAGGTGACTTGGAGGGAGGTCAGTGCACTCTGGCAGGAAACCTCGCTCCGCCCTTACAGGCAGACCCGGAGAGAGGCGGGGACGCCCCTGCCATGCAGGCCCCATCCAGAGGGCACCGCCTGCAAGCTGAACTCCAGCAGGGGAGAGGCACAGAGCGTGGGGAGCCATTGGATGAAGCTGTACGTCAAGGGGGGACCAAAGCTGCAACAGACGGTATCAGCATCGACCACTGATCTTGCTGCCCCGTTTGGGGCTTTTGGTGAGCCCCAAACACCAGATGTTACTGAGCCGTGGAGCACGTCTTCTTCCATCCCTGCCCCCGCCCCCTTCCTTCGCCTCCTCCCTGACCTCTGCAGCTTTAAGAGAAAGACGACCAGGGCTGGGCTGCGGTCTCCATGTACCCAGAGGGACCAGGGGCCCTGAGTGCCCTCCAACGTGCGGGGGACCTCGGCGGGGAGGACACAGGTTGCCACGGCCCTGCCAGGTGCAGGCACCTGGATCCCACTGGCGGGATTTGCACACAGTTTGGGTGAGCAGGGAAGGTGACGTCATCTTGGGGCCAAGTCAGGGTGCCGTGGCTGTGGCTCCTGCCTCTGGACCCGATGCTTGCTGTGTCTCCTGCCCCTCGAGTGGTGGGGGGACGTTCCTGGGGGGGACACTCTGCACGTGGAGAGGCGGCTGTAGAGCACATAACCAATCCCAGCCCAGCAATCTGTCCCCTTGGGTCAGCCAACAGAAGCCAGGAAGAGAAAGGAAGTTCAGGGCCTTCCAGGTGACAGGAAGGCATCTGGGGTGACCAGGGAGGCCACGTCCCACCTCCACAGCCCTGGACGGCCAGAGGGAGCTGGCAGCTGGCTCGATGCTTGCATCCCATCCAGTGCTGCTCCTGTGGCTCCAGCTGGTGTAGACAGGGGGCTGTAAAGGTCCGTGCAGGCTGACAGCTCCAGAGGAGTCTTGGAATTTCGGCCGCTTGCTTTCCGTCTCATGGGTGCTGGCACCAAGACCGCTTCGCACTCATGTGGCAGGAGCTGTAACACTCGTCTCCAGCGTCCCTGCTCGCCAGCGGCTGCCACTGGGGGTCAGGACCTGGCCCTCTGCCCCCTGCTCTGGGGCTCCCACCGTCTACACGACGTCCTGCCAGGTGGCAAGTCTGACTTCTGCCCTACGGAGTCTGCCTGGCCGAGGCCATATGTGCTCACTGCCCTTGAGCTATAGCAAATAGCCAAGCTGGTTTTCGACTTACACACTAGACAGGTGGTCGAGGACACCCCTTCTTGGGGCCATGAGCCACGGAGGCACAGCGAGGCCACTCACGGGGCTCCCCACCCAGACCGCCAGGGTTCTACGTGGCGCTGAGCCCCCAGAACGCCACCCTGAGAGAGATGCTGAGTCGGTGGGGGACACATCGCACGGGGTGGACCCCCATCCTGGTAGATCGTTGACTCTTGGTGCTATATGTGGTATTTCCCATCGTGACGCCATTTGGCTCAGTGAACGGTCAGCTCTGGCCACACCCTCTGGCCGTGTGTGCCGCGTGGACCACCTGCAGTTCGACCACCTGTGCCAACACGAGCTGAGTGTCTGGCTGCTCCTCGCCTCCTCCACTCACTGGACAAAACTGTCCCCAGAGACCAGGCTGCTCACCGAGTAACGGTCAGGATGAAAGTGACCGAGGACGGCCCAGGTGTGGGTGGGGATCCCGCATCCCTCCCTGACGGTTCCTGGGCAAAGGGCACTCTCCTGTCCCCTCAGACACGGCGCGGGTGGCACACCCTCCTGGGCGCAGCCTGGCCAAAAGGAGAGTGGCCTGAGGGGCTCATGCTCACTTCTGGACAACTTTTACGAACGGCTTGGTCCCTGGGAAGCCGCCCTCCCAGGGGGAAGGTCTGGGCCTGAGCAGGGATGATGGGGCGGGGAGTGGGGGGGGGGTGGCAGTCCCTCGCAGGTTCTGTGCAGGAGGCGGCGGCTGGGAAGGACCTTTGGGACCCAGGACGTGGGGCAGCGGGCCTTGCTCCAGAAGGGAGACCTCAGGGGCGGCTCGCTCAAGCTGCCGCCAGGAATCAGCTGCTGCAGCCAGGCCTCCAGCCTGCGGCTCTGACTGAGGGACCCAGGACAGCCCCTCCAGCATGTCCTCTCCAGCCCCATCCTTAGCTGCTGGTGGGCGGACAAATGCCCCTAGCTGGTGGTGGTCAAGCAGGACAGGAGGGACTGACTGGCCTGGGATAGCTCCTCCAAAACCAGGGCTGGATTTGGTTATTCAGACTGAACTGGGAACTCAGGGTGTTATTTGCCAGCCCGGGTGAGGCCAACCATCAGCCCAGAATACTGACAAGTGTCCTGCTTCACCTGGGGGCCTCAGACCACACCAGATGGTTATGCTATGTTGTGATTTAGGGTGGGGGCTCTGGGCCACGTGGCATCAGCGTAACCTCTGGAGGGGCGATGCAGTGGTCAGCCTGGTACAGCAGTGACCCCCAACAGAACCCTGGACACCAAGGCTCGGTGAGCACCCCTGGTGGACACACTCCCAGTGCTGTCACACGTCGATGCAAGAGAAACAGGCGCCCTCCACACCCTTCCACAGAGGACGCCCAGACCCTGCCCCGTGCACCTCCTCCTTTCTCTGCAGTACACAGGACCCTGAGCTGAACAGCCTGCTCAGTTGCATGAGTCCGTCCAGCACGTCGCTGAACCCGAAGATGGTCATGGGGCCCCCACCTGGTGTCAGAGTGAGGGTGGTCACAGGGACCCTCGAACTGTGCAGCTCCCCTCACGTGCAGAGATGACCCCCTGTGGCCCTCGCTCCCATTGCACAGCTTCAGCGCCTGCCCCCTGCCCTGCTGGCCACCTCGGATCTCTTCCCACAGGCCCCCTGGGAGGGGCCTGGCTGACCGTCACCCTGCCCCGTGCTCTGCCTTATTTCCCTGGCCGGCCACGTCACTTCCCCACTTCACATCACACGTTTGTCTGTCTGCTTGCTGTCTGTCTCCACCCAGAAGGTTGGCCCCCTCGGACAGGCCGCCTGGCCTGCTTGCTGCTGTTTTCCCCAACCTGGAGCGGCACCTGGCACTCAGTGCAACTGGTCAAACAAGAGAGCTAACGAGCAAGACTCCGCGGCCAGCAGGGTCATGGAGTCGGAAACACGGACGCACGCCCTCCGCGTCCACTGTGCACCCCGGCCAGGGTGACCGTGATTCGGAGCAGGCGACTGGAAGAGCAGGCCGCAGCCCCCAGCCAGGCCCCAGCCTGGGTCCCAGGCCCTGCCCAGCCTGTTCCCTCTGGGCAGCTCTTGCCTGTTGCAGGATGCGCGTCCCTGGGCGCTGGGGCCTACCTTTATACCAGCTGACGACGGGCTTGGGTGTGCCCGTCACACGGCAGGCCAGCTTGACTGTCTCGCCCAGCTCGGCTGTGCAGTCAGCCAGCTCCTCTTCGAAATCCGGGGGACCTGGGGACACGCACACACGCATGGTGCCCTGAGTGCTCTGTGGGTGACTCACCAGTGCCCTCAGGCGACCCCTGGCAGGGCCAGAAGCCCCATGACCAAGGGTGTGTTGCTACGAACACCACCCCTGGTGATCTTTTGTCCAGGATCTCACACTTGGGCCCAGAAAGGAATCAGGGTGAGGGAGGCAGGCTGGCTGGATATTGGGGCGTGGGGGGGACTGTGGAGAAGGAGAGTGTGTTGAAAGGGGAGCCTCTCTCTGTTCCAGGTGAGGAACCAGAGCCAGTGCTCCCAGGCCCTTCACATCGCCTAACCCAGTCTGGGTGCTGCCCTGTGCTGGGGACCCCCTGAGTGACCCTGAGGCTCCCCACACTCGGGTCAGGGCCAGCCTGACACCCGGGCTCAGGGCTCCCAGGAAGCTGAGCTGAAGGAGGGGAGAGTGAGCCGTCTGCCCCTGGATGGACCCCCTTCCCTAACGCGAACCGAGCAGGCGGCCAGGCTGAAAGGTTCGAGTCCCCCGTCCAGCCCCGCTGCCAGGACCGGGCACTCACGCCAGACGGGCAGGGCCAGACGCTGCTGGATGCCGCAGATCTCCTTCACCCAGGAGTTCTTGGTGATGACCGTCCGTGCCTGCAGCAGGTACTTGCGCACCGAGTCTTCCCGCTCGTGCCAGATCTCGAAGGCGCGGTCGTCCCCCTCCACCTGGTCGTTCAGGTCGATGCTGCTCAGCTGTAGGGGGAGGACGCAGGGTGACTTCCCGGACACAGGCCGAGCCTCGGTCACCACGGATGGGGTCGCCGCCATAGGAGCAGACACGGCCTCTGCCCGCCCTCAGGGCCCCCCGAGTTCTGCCGGTGCCCCGCAAACCTTCATCATGTTCCGGAAGACGTAGCTGAAGGTATCAGTGCGCGAGTCCCGCCTGGGCTTGCAGACGACCAGGTGGTGGCGGAACAAGAAGACGTGCCGGTGGTGGCCCTTCCAGGGCATCCGTGCGCCCGGCGCCCCCTCCCACACAATGAAGTGGCCCTGGGGGAGCCGTCAGCCCACGGTCAGCCAGGCCAGGCTGGGGTACAGACCCCCATGCACCCTGCCCAGGGCCTCTGCCACGCCCCGCCCCCAGACCTGGCGGATGGGCTCGCCCAGGGCCTCCAGGGTGCCGGGGTAGTTCTCCATGAGCGACACATGCAGCTGGTTCTCAGCACGCTGGGGCAGGGCAGACACCACGGCATAGGCCTGCTCCAGCAGTGCACAGTTCTGCCCATTCCGCGCCTTGTTGCGGATCAGCTCCTGCGGAGATGACAGGTCAGGCTGTGGTCTGGGGCAGCTGGGCAAGGGGTGGCCCGCAGCGCCCGGCCAGCCCGCCCACCTTGAGCAGGGCCTGGTACTGCTGGACACGCTGCACCGGCTGCTCCAGGAAGTGCTGCAGGGGCGGCGGGGGCGGCTGCGAGGGGTCTGCGGCCGACAGCACCTCTTCGGTGTATTTCTGTAAGGACCGCGGGGCAGGGTTCAGGGCAGGAACACACAGCCCCCGGACGGCCCATGTCATCAGAACTCCAGAGCTGGTGTTGGGGTCCTGGGGATGTACACACAGGCAGCCTCTGCACCCGGAGGGCCTCACGCCGCCCTGGGCGATGGCCCATGTCACTGACAAGTGATCAGTGCTTGGGGGCTCTGCCTGCTCTCCGTACTAAGCCAGGGCCCAGGGGGTCTGGGAAGGTCTGGGGGGCCCGGGCAGGGTCAGGGAAGATGAGTTCCAGGGCCAGCACTGAGGCTGGGGACAGGGGCACTGACAGGCCCCTGAGCCGGGCAGGGGGGCACCTTGTAGAAGTCCTGCACGGCCGTGCTGACCACCACCGCCTCGGCCTGCACTCGGCCCACCAGGAACTCCAGATACTTCTCAAAGGCCGCCTGGTTCTTGATGAAGCACATGGCCACGTCATCGTCTGTGTCACAGCTCTTCAGCTCCCGCAGGAAGCTGCCACAGAGGGGACGGCGGTCAGGGGACGGCTGACCTCAGGACCCCCACCCACGACCCAACACCCAGCCCCGAGCCCTCAAGTTGGGAGGAAACAGGCTCCTGCCCAGGGCCAGGTTCCCACGGGTGAGAGTGAGTGTGTTGGACTGTGGAGGCACACGTGTACAGTCTGTGAGGGTGTGCCTGAGGGTGCATGCATGCCCTGTGTACAGGTGTGGGTGTGCACTTGTGTGTCGGCATGCACACGTAGGCATGTGTGACACGTACATGTATGCACCCAAGTATGCAGGTGCGTGTATGCCGTGTACGTGTGCCACGTGTGAGAGCATGTATGTGCGCGCTAGTGTGTGCATGCTAGTGTGCACAGCTATGTGTGTGCATGTTTCTGGGGCGTGCCGGTGAACGTGGGTTGCAGCAGGCACTTCACTGGGTAAGCTGGTGCACACGCCTGTGTCCTAGGACACGTGTGTCCTTGTACAGGGTGTGGGGGGCCAACAGATAAGTCACGTCCAGAAAGGTTCTTTCCTTCCTAGACGCCTGCCCATACCTGCATGTCCCAGCCCCATGAGTACATGTGTCCACGTGTGTTTGTATCTGGGTGCATGTGTCTGCAAGCATGTGAATATTCCCGTGTGCATATACACGTCCTCATGTGTGTCGGTGTGTGAATACACCTCTGCGTGTCTGTGTCCCCGTGTGCACACTGTAGGCCTGCCCGTCTGCCCACCTGCTGTGGAAGTGGCTGATGTCCTGCACGTTGCGGAAGATGACAGCCTTCTGGCTGGCCACGGCGGGGGGCGCATGGGGGCAGCGGTCCAGGTGCCGTATGTGGTGGCTCTGCAGGAACTGCAGCTTGCCGACGAAGGCCTGCTCTGAGCTCAGCAGCTCCTGGATGACAGAGCTGCAGGCGACAACGCAGGGGCAGGCCCTGGAGCGCAGCTCAGAGCCGGGGGCACCTCGCGTGGTGTGCAGCCTGCCGCCCACTTTCAGAATGGCTGCATCCCCAAGGCCACCCGCCACACGGAGTCATCAAACAGGTGTCACTGGCATGAGGCTGGCCAGGAGGCTCTTGTGGAATTAGCATCTCAGAGGCCCAGCAGGACCTCAACCCCCTTGTGGCCCCCACCCACGACCCCTCACCTCAGCCTTGTCTTGTACTCGTCCTCAGATACAGCCTCCCCGGGGAACTCGGGGGCCTCGGCAGGCCCCCACTCGGGTGACAGCTGGTGAGAAACAGGAGGGGTTGCAGGTGGTGAGCTCTGGCCCTGCCCAGTGAGGTTGGCTCTCGCCCTCACGGGGGGTCGACTATCCTGGGACCCCCCACCAGCTGTCCAACTACCTTGAGCCGCTTGTCCAGGTAGGCAGGGGATACCCATCCTTGCCGCGAGGGGCTGGACTTGGTGGGCTTGGTGCGCACGAGCCAGCGCAGCGGGTGGGCCGAGTCCAGCACCTCCACGTACTGGCCCTCCCGCAGTGAGATGGCGTCCTGCTCGGCCCCCAGGGGCACGTAGTCAGCCGTGACCACGTAGATGTCAAAGATCTGTAGGGGGGGCGCTTAGTCGGACCCAGGAAAGGGCTAGCCAGACCTCCCAAAGCCCGGACAGCCCCCACAGACCCCACAGGGAGGGGGATCGGAGAGGGGCCAGGGGGCCTCCCAAGGCCCCAGACTGCAGAGCCTCTGGCACTAAGTGGAGAGAAGAAGCTAAGAGGAGATTCTGTGAAGTCCTAGAATAGGCCCCGCCCCTCTCTGTTGATGGAAACCCTATCAGGGGCGTGGGGTGGAGCCACCCCAAAGAGGAAAGGAGGAAGCTCTGGAGGTGCCGGGGTGTTCTGGATCATGGGGATGATGTAGGCCACTCAGGTGTGTGCCCCCTGCCCCCTCCCAGCCCCCGCACCTCGCCCCGGGAGTCCCCGTCCTCTGACTCTGAGGATGACTCCTGGACACTGGAGGAGGGGCGCGAACGGCCATGCCGGGGGGACGCAGATGGCGTCTTGGACTCCTCATCGCTGTCACCTCCAGGCACCTGCAGCTTGGCTGGGGGGCAAAGGGCACATGACGCCCGGGAAGGGCCAGCTCCCCAAGCCCTCTCCCCGTGGGTCTCCAGGGCATGGGTGGTGGGGAGAGGACACAGCCCCCCGACCTCACTCTCACCCAGCGCCCTCACCTTGCGTGATCTTGGCCGACACCATCTCTGTGATCTGCGAGGTCAGCTTCTGCAGGAACTCCTCCGTGCCCACCTCAGCCAGGGACAGGTGGCTGCGGGCCTCCATCACCGGGGGCTCTCCTGGGGTCCAAACTCTAGCTCAGCCAGCCATATGCTCCACAGACGTGCCCAAGCACCCCTCCAGCCCGTCCTGGGCTCAGGAGTCCGAGGAGATGAGGATGCACAGGCCTGGGGCCAGTGCCACTGGAAGCAGGGAGGGCTGACCAGGACTAGGGGCTGGGTTGGCTCAAGGGCATCTGAGCCGAGGTGTGACAGGCAGAGGGGCTGTGAACGCAGGGGAGTGTCCGGGCAGGGGGACAGTGGGCAGTCAAGGACACCAAGTGGCCAGGAGGCAGCAGCCAGCCGGGGGCACAGCGGTCAAGGCACTGAGAGCCATGCTGGGTAGAGGCCAGGCCGGCCATCGAGCTGGGGCAGGAGCTTTGAGCCACGGGGCCATGGCAGGGTCTGTGCAGCCTCCTTTCTCAGTGGCCACTGGGCCGCTGGTCTGGGAAGGGGCTCAGGACGGGGCAGGGGCAGCTCAGCCAGATGGCAGGAGACAAGGGCAGGTTCTGGACACTGAGGCAGGGGCAGGGCCCCAAATCTTGGCCTGAGGGCTGGGGGACCTGAGATTTGGAGGTTTGGAGTCTGCGTGACAGAAGCAGGATGTTTTGTGCAGAGTCAGGGTTAAGGGTGAACGAGGGGGCTGCGGGGGGCGGTACATGGAACAGCCTGTTACACATGAGCCCTGAGCCCAGGCTACAGGATCCCCATGGCCCCTCGGGCTCCCAGATCCACAAGGCTCAGAAACGGCCCCAAGACCAACCAAGGCTCAGAGGCAGGGTCACGAGGGGCAGAGAGCCCCAGCTCAGAGCTACACAAGCAGGCATTTCTGGGGCCACACGGTCTGGGAGGAGCCTCGTGGGACTGGGGCCTGCTGGCTGGGCAGCCACCTCCACATCCCACCCCGGCATCGGGGCCCTCGGCCACCCTGGCCCTGCGAATACCACCCAGCTGGTACCTTTCCTCTGCCCGGCAAGGTCGGTGAAACCTGCAGATTCTGACATCTGTGCGAAGACGGCTTGGGTCCTAAAGGAGGGAGGGGTGTCCTGAGGGGCCTGGGGTGGACCCCACCTCCCCGCACCCATGGGCGGGAGCTTCTGAGAGGAAGAGGGTCTGGGGACAGGGGGCTGGGATGCCACAGTCAGGGCCCCGGAAAGCACTTCTTTTGCGATGGGGAAATTGAGGCAAAGAGAGGGACAGGGGCTGGCCCAAGACACCCTGCCTTCAAAGGGCAGAGCTGGGCTGCGGTCCAGGGTAGGTTTCCCTGCCCAGCTGCAGCACTGACCCCACTCCCAGGCCCCTGCCCCCGGCCCCACCATGGCCGGCCAGCTCTGGGCAGCCCCCACTCACCCCTGCAGGAAGGTGGACATGAGGGCCTCCTTCACCCCAGCCTGCTCCTCCACCGCCCCTGCCTCCTTGGACACTGTCAGGAGAGCGAGGTGAGCCAGCAGATGACACCCTGGCCTCTGCTGAGCTGATTCCGATCGGGACCCCTGCCCACGATGTCTAGGCCACCCCAGAGGCCTTGACCCTGTTCATCCAGAGCCCTGAGGAGGAGCTGTGCCCAGCGTCCCAGCTCGGGCCACAGTTCCCCCACTGGGGGTGGGGACAGGAACAGGTTCCGTGCTTGACTCGCCAGGCCTCAGAGGGGCTGAGGGCCCATGAAGAAACCACTCGGGGCAGCAGGGGGCTTCTGGGAGGGTCTTGGCCAGCTAAGCGGAGCCCACAGGGCAGGGGACAGGAGCTGGCCCCTGGGGCTCTGCACTCAGATCTCGCCAGCTCTGGCTGGGCCAAGGGGAGAGGGGTCTGGGGAGGGGCAGCCTGCCCCTAGGAGGCCCTGGACCCCCTCCCACACCCCACCGGCCATCCACTCCCACTCACGGCCGGAGACATGCAGACTGGCAGAGCAGAGGGCCTGGCCTGCAGCATTGCTAGCGATGCAGGTGTAGGAGCCCTGGTGCTGTCGGCCCACATCCAGCAGGACCAGGCTGTGCTGCTGCCCGGAGCTGGCCACCGTGTAGCCTGGCGTGTCACGGCCAATCCACAGCACGCCCTCACCGGCCTCCTCCCGCAGCCAGTGCACCGCCGGGGTGGGGCGACCTGCAGGCAGGAGTGGACAGTGCAGTCACCCCCCAACTGGGAGGCAGGGTATGGGAAAGGGGATTGCCTCTGAGCCTCCTGGGGCCTCAGTGGGGACACAGGATCTGCTCTGAACCTCCTGGGGTCCTCAGTAGGGACGGGAGCCGGAGCGCCCTACCTTCGACCTTCACGGAGAAGGTGATGCTGGCACCCTTTTTCACCTTCTTGGGGGTGAACTTCTCCAGGAAGCGGGGCGGCACCAGCTGTTGCTGCACATCTGGGGAGACACGGGGCAGCTGGTGGGGAACACACACCGTGTCCCAGTGCAGCGGAACAGCCAGCACAGAGTCCTGGCTCTGTGTGTGGGGTGGGCTCCGTGGTCTCAAGGGGCCCCTGGTGTGGTCCCACTTCCACGGCCTGGCCCCCACCTGCTCAGGCCCCCCCGCCCACCCACGAGGTCACCCCTCACACACTCTCGCAAAGCCCCAAGTGCCCACTGCCCCCCTCCCCCCTCCTTCTGCCCGTGGAGAGGCGGCTCACCAGACGCCGGCTTCTCTTCTGGTTCGTTGGGGCCTAAAAGAGGCATAGAAGTCAGAACTGCGGCTGAAGGCGCCTCCCTCCCTGGGCTGGTGGGGCTGCTGGGTGGAGCGTGGTTGCCGAGGGCGGCCCGCCCGCTCCTGCACAGCACTTCTCCTGAGCCTGGCTGTGCAGCCCTGGAATTCACACTCAGGTGTGGAGAGACAAGAGGCCACATGGACCAGACTCTGTGCAACCCCAGGAATCGGGGTTGTCACCCTAGGGCCAGCACTTGGACGTCACACTGAAGGGGCCCAGGTGGCGCTGAGCCCTGTGTCCAGGGTGGGTCGGGGCACAGATATGGAGTCACCCTGCAGTGCTCAGAACTCTGGAGAATGAGGAACTTCGGATCTCTATTCCTAACAGTCTATTGGGGGCCACATGCTCGCCTGGGTCTACCTCACCAGCCAGCATGCCTGCCCGGTCAGCGTGCATGGGCCCCATGCCCCCGGGGGCACGCGCTCCCTGGGGCCGGCTTCTGGCCACCTGTGAGGCTTCTGCATATGGGGTGATGACTGCTGGGCTCGGCCCCAGCCAGCATGTGGGTGGATATCAGCCCGGTGTGGACGCCAGCCTTTGCCGGGTCCCCCACCACCCACCTCGGACCAGCAGCCGAGCAGACGAGTAGGCAGCGCCCACAGTGTTGCTGATATAGGCCGAGTACTGGCCGGCATCCTCGCTGGTGACCGAGAGGATTTCCAGGGTGTGCAGGGTCTTCCTGTCAGCCATGCGGATGTGCGCAGACGCCGTCAGGGGCTGCCCATCTTTGAACCAGTACAGGCGGGGGGCTGGGTAGCCTGGGGCCACAAGGGGAGAGGTCAGCACAGAGCTGTCAGCCAGTGGGCACTCTGCCCTCCACATGGCCCAGGGAGGGGGTGCCTCAGAGACCCCTGGGCTGCAGGGGACCACCCGATCTCTGCTGGGGGGAGGCAGCTCCTGGCCCTCTGCCCCCTCCCCCTCACCTTTGACTTTGAGTTGGAACTTGGCCAGGCGAGTGCCAGGGGCCACTTGGAGGTCTTTCAGCTCCTCCACCACCTGGGGCAGCTGCCCCTCCTCTGAGGACTCCGTGCCCTCCTGCTCACGGCTGGCAGGGAGAACAGAGAAGGGCAACGTGAAGTGCACCAGTGAGGAGGCAGGAGGGGGCCAGGGTCAGGTACAGATAGCTTTTGAGGTCCCATTGGCTGGTGCATCCTGGCTGAAGGCTCTAGGACTTTGATTCTGTCATTCCAATCCAGCTCCGCCACCCCCACCCCAGGGCCCAGGACTGCCAGCTGGCTGGCATTGCCGCCTCTGTGTGGCCCCACCTGGACAGGTAGCCTTGGGCGCTGAAGTAGGATGACGTCTCGGTAGCATCAGCGGCCGTCTCGTAGTCTGTGCTGGTCACTGGGGATGAAAGGGCAGCTGGAGCAAGGCCTGCACCCATCTGCCCCCACACGGCCCCCTAGAGGCCACCAGGTTTCCACTGCACAGCCATCCCTGGGAGCCACTCGCATGCCTGAGTCAGAAGTCTCAGGGGACACAGCTACCCTGTGGCCCCTCCCCGCCCCCATGCTGTGCCCGTCATGTTTCCAGGCCTGTAACTGACTGTAAGACCCAACAAATTGTAGATACCAGGCGATTCTGGGCTTCATAAATGGCAAGCAGGGTTAGTGGCAGCGTCTCCCAGTCCCACTGCAGTGGAAAGCAAGGACGGCATGTACAGGCCTCAGAACCACAGCCACCAGGATGGAGGAACAGGGACTGGGTTTGCCCTCTGTTACGGGCTGAACGTCTGTGTCCCCCAAAATTCACAAGCTGAATCCTCACCCCAACATCATGGTATGGGGAGATGAGGCCTTTGGGAGGTGCTGAGGTCAGGGGTGGAGCCCCCAGGATGGGATCAGTGCCTTATAAGAGAGACCCCAGAGAGCTCCTCCCTCCACCACCACGTGAGGCCACGGGGAGACAGTTGTTGGCAACTCTGAAGAGAGTCCTCAGCAGAGCCCACCACGCTGGCTCCCTGACTCTGACTTCCAGCCTCCAGACCGTGAGGAGTAAACTGTCGTTTATAAGCCTCTCGGTCTATGGTGCTTCATTACAGCCGCCGAACTAAGACACCCTCCCCACTGAAACCACCAAAACAAACAAAGAGAAGATACGGAGTATGCCTGGGATGCTGTGATCTACAGTAGGAATATACACTTGGTCTTGTCCCATTCCTGGCACGGAGCTCCCAAAACCCCTGGACTCTCCTGTGATGAGAGCGATAAAGGGGTCTTGACAGTCACGACAAGCCTGTCAACCACACCTGAGCTTATGCTAATGAGGTGACTCTGGACAGCCCTTGAGGATGGGGCTGGTCCCCAGGGGTAGAGACCCCGTGATTAGAGGCTGGAGCTTTCAGTCCCACAACAGACCCGTGGAGGGGAGGGGCTGGAGCTTCAATCAATCACCAGTGGCCCATGATTTGATCAGTCTGTGTGATGGAGCCCCCAGAAGACCCAAAAGGACGGTTCCGAGAGCCTGCAGGTCGGTGGGCACGTGGAGGTGCTGGGAGGAGGGTGGTGTGCTTGGAGAGGGCGTGGGAGCACGGAGCCCCTTCCCCAGGCCTGCCCCATGTGTCTCTGCATCTGACGGTTCTGAGTTATATGCTTTCACAGAAACCAGCAATCTAGCAAGAGAAATGTTTCCTGAGTTCTGTGAGCCGCTCCAGCAACCGGGGAGGGGTCGGGGAGCCTCTATTCTGGAGCCCGTGGTCAGGAGCACAGGTGATGCCCGGACTTGGGGCTGGCAACTGCAGTGGGGCGGTCTCGCGGACCGAGCCCCTTATCTGTGGGGTCTGACGCTGTGTCCAGATGGATGGTGTCAGAACGCAGGTGAATGGTGGGAGCCCCACTGCAGTCGCAGAACTGCACGGAGTGGGGAAAGAACCCTTACTTTGGAATTGGGTACACAATCATCCGAATGGTTTTCGGGTCACTGGGCATTAAGTGAGTGAAGGACAGTGATCCATTAGAGAGAAGAAATAGAAGTGAGCCCCATGATTGCCCAAGCTCCCTGCCTTGCGTTTCCAGGCCCAGGAGGGGAAACTGAGACAGATCCTGAGTTGAGGAGACAGAGCTGATGTCCTGGGAGACGACGGCAGCTGGAGCCCATAGGACAGAAAACCAGAGAAGAGAAAGCTGCACAGAGAGGACCCCGTCCCTGGAGGACTCAGCAGAGGACAGATTTGCACCGCACGTGAGGAAAGAGCCACGTGACAGGGCTAGAGGAAACGGAGCCGGAGAAACAGAAGGCTGCACAGTTGGGCTGGAAACAGTCCACAGGGCAGTGGCAGAGGGCTCAGGAAAGCTCTCGCCCCAGGAGAGGGGAGGACCAGCCTCAGCCCCGCCCGACAACCACACAGCCAGACCCAAAAGGATGGAACTGCTTCCCAGAGACTCACTGTAACCAGAACAAGCCCCACAGGACCTGCAGAAACACAAAATACCCGGCTCCCAGCAGGGTCAGACTCAGTGTCAGGCATCCAGTCAGGGAGCACAAGACACGCGAGGAAGCAGGAAAACAGGACCCAGAACGTGGAGAAAGTCACTCAGCCAGAACCGACCCAGACTGACAGATGTTAGAACAGCAGAGATGGACATTAAAACAGGCACAGAACTGTATCTTATGTGTTGGAAAAGTTAAGTAGAGACATAGAATATATTAAAAAGACTTCAGTGGAATTTCTAAAGATAAAAAAAATACAAGGGGCAGGATGAAAAGCAGACTACTCGTCACACAGGAAAAGAGTCATGGACGTAAAAGCCCAGAATGAAACGCACAGAGTAAAAAGAAACTTAAAGAGCGAAAAGAGTACCCGTGAGCAGTGGAACAACTTCAAGCGGCTTGACATACGTGTAACTGAGGTCCCCAAATGAGGGGGGAAAGCAAAAACCTTTGAAGAAGTAATGGCCAACAAAAAATCCAAACTTAACGAAAATTATAAACACCAAATACCAAGAAGCTCAATTAACTGCAAGCACAAGGAAACATGAAGAAAAGTACATCAAAAAAAGCATAATCAAATTACTCAAAACCAATGATAAAAAGGAATCAAAAAATATTGAGACCATTTTTGCAGAAATTGACAAGCTGATCCTAAAACTTATATAAAAATGCAAGAGACCCAGAAAATTCAAAACAATCTTGAAAAAGAATGAAGTTGGAGGACTCACGCATCTAGGTTTCAAAACTTACTACAAAGCTACACTAATCAAGACAGTGCAGCCCCTGGCATAAAGAGAGACGTTTAGATCAATGGGACAGAATTGAGAGCCTAGAAATAAATCCATACATTTAATGGAGATTAGCTTTTGACAAGAATTCCAAGACAACTTTATGGAAGAAAATAGTCTTTTCAACAAATGGTACTAGGACAACTGGATATCCACATTAAAAGAATGAATTTGGGCCCTTACCTCATACCATATACCAAAATTAACTCAAAATGGACCAAAGACCTAAATATAAGAGCTCAAACTATAAAACTCTTAGAAGAAACACAGGTGTAAATCTTTATAGCTTTGGACTAGGCAATGGATTCTTAGACACGACAACTAAAGAACTAGGAAACTAAGAAAACGTGGATAAATTGGACTTGCTCAAAATTAAGAACCTTTATGCATCATAGGACACTATCAAGAAAGGGAAAAAATAGGCCACAGAATGGGAGAAAATATTCAAAATCATCCATCTGATAATAGACAACAGATCACCTATCTGATATGTGCTAGTACCCCGCACAATGAAGAGCTCTAACAACTCAAAATCAAAAGACAAATAACCCAATTTAACAATGCACAAAGGATTTGAACAGATATTTCTCCAAACAAGATATACAGAGGGCCAATAAGCACACGAAAGGATGCTCACCATCATTGGTCATTAGGGAAATGCAAAACAAAACCATATGAGATACCGCTCCACCCACTTTAGGATGGCTATTATGGAAAAGGTGAACAATAACAAGTGCTGGTGAGGATGTGGAGAAATTGGAACCCTCGTACATTGTTGATGGGAATATAAAATGGGGCAGCCACCGTGGAAAACAGTTACCATTTTAGAATGTGCAGTGTAGTGGTTTTAATGTATTCACAAGATTGTGCAACCATCACTACCTAAAAGTTAAACATAGGGTCACCCTATGATCCAGTAATTCCACTCCTAGGTATACACCCAAGAGAAGTGAAAACAGACGTCCACACGAAAACTGGTACATGAGTGTTCACAGCAGTATTATTCGTAATAGCCCAAAGGATCAATGGATAAACATCGTCCAATGTGTGCTTGATCAGTCCAGACACAATGGAGTATTTTTCAGTCATAAAAAGGAATGAAGTACTGACACATGCTACAACATGGATGGACCTTGGAAACATGCCCAGTGACAGAAGTCAGACACAAAAGGCCACATATCATATGACTCCATTTACATGAAATATTCAGAACAGGCAAACCCAAAGAGACAGGAAGTTTAGTGGTTTCCAGGGGACTGGGGAGTGAGGGACAGTGGGTATGGGGTTTCTTTCTGGGATGATGGAAGGGTTCTGGAATTAGATGGTAGTGATGGTTGCACAACCTTGTGAATACATGAAAACCACTACATTGCACATTTTAAAATGGTGAATTTTATGGTGTGCAAACATCTAAACACTTTAAAATCCCAATAGAAAAGACAATTTACGTACAGAGAAGCAAAGACAAGAACGACATCATACTTCTCAGTGGAAACATGCACGCTAGCAGCTGGTGGAGCCACATCACTCAAGTATGGAAAGAAATACTGTACCAGCAAAAATATCTTTCAAAAACAAAAGCGAAATAAACACATTTTTTCAGACATACAAAAGAAAGAATTCCAGCATACCCATACTACAAAAAATAATGTTAAAAGACATCCTTCAAGCAGAAAGTAAGTGACACCAGATGGAAATCTGGATGTACACAACAGAATGGAAAGCATGGAAAGAGAATGGCCTGCAAAAATAGATAAGATGGGTTCTTATTTAAGGTGATCAACCTGTTGTTATTGTTGTGGGGTTTTTATCATAAAGTGTTTAACCAATTCCTTGCTAGTAGACATCCAGATTAGGTTTTTATTTGCTAATATAAAAAACTACAATTCAAGAGACTTACACATATTTTTGTTCATCTAATATTTTTGGGGATGTACAGCTGTCTAAAACACTTGTTTTGGTAAAATTCTTCATGGAAAACTTGTATCATTAATATACATTTGTTTACCAGCAGCTGTAAATTGTCACTTACTGAAACCCCTGAGAATAACACTCATTATCTTTTTTAAAATCTTTGGAAGTTTGAATGACAAAATTATGTTTTTGATTTGCATTTCTTCACATATCAGTTCAACTTTTTATTTCATACATTGGCTTTTTTGTTGTTCTTTTGTGACCCTTTTTTTGTTCTTTGCTTTTAAAAAAAACCCTCAAGTTCACATGTTAGAAATGATCTTCGCCAGGTTGTTTCCTCTTTATTCTTGGTATGTTGTTCTTGTTGAGTTTTTTAACAGCTTTTTTCCTTTTTATTTTGAGAGAATTGTAGATCCTCATGCTGTTCTAAGAAATAACAGAGATCCCACGCACTCTTCACCCAGGTTCCAGCAACGTTAACTCCTCTCATAACTATAAAAGGGGACATTGATATGTCCCTTGACCTTGTTCCGATTTCACAAGTTTCACCCAAACTCCATTGAGTGTATGTGTTTAATTTTGCGCAATAAAATGCTGTTTTATCACTGCTGCACATGTCAATAACGCGTTCCTTTTCCTTGCCAAGTCTACTCCGTAGGACAGCCGTCCACAGTTTAACCATTCACCTGCTCAAAGACAGCTGGGTCGTTACCAGTTTTTGACTACTAGGAATAAAGCTGCTATGAGCATTTGGGTACAGGTTTTATTATGAATTTGTGTTTTCATTTTTCTGGGGTAAATGCCCCAAAAAGCAATTGTTGGGTTGTACGGTAACTACATGGTTAGTTTTGTGAGAAACTGCCACACTGTTTCCAGAGTGGCTGCCCCATTTTACACGCCACCAGCAGTGCATGGGGGATCCCGTTCCTCTGTGTGCTCATCTGCATTTGGGGCTGTCACCACTTCTTACTCTAGCCATCCTGATCAGCGCACAGTGACATCCCGCTGGGGCTTTGCTCTGCCTCTCCCTGACGGCACATGATGCTGAGCACCTTCCGTGGGCCCAGCTGCACCTGTGCACCCTCCCACAGAATGTCCCGACGTGTCCTTTCTCCTATCCTAACTGGATTTGAATAATATTTTACTGTTTAATGTTGAGCATTCTTCATACACTTTAGAGAAAAGCCCTTTATTAGACCTGTGGTTTGCAGATACTTCCTCCTTCCTAACACCGAGTCTTTCTCAGAGCAGGAGTGTTTAACTCTGAAGAGGTCCAGTTTACCACTCTTTCTTTCACAGGTGTTGCTTTACTACCAAGTCTCAGAAGTCTTAGGTGCTGAAGATTTCCTCCTGTTGTTCTTCTGCAAGTTTCACAGTTTTATACTTTACCTTTAAGTACGTAACCCACTTTGAGTTAACTTTCAGATAAGGTCGACGTTACTTTTTTTGCCTATGAATGTCCAAATTACTCCACACCATCTGTTGAAATTCTATTCCTTCAATTAATTGCTTTTGCACTTCTGCCAAAAATTAGTGGACGTATTTGTAGGGGTCCTGGCAACCATTCTCCATCCTGAAGCTGTCTAGGGGCCCAGCAGGAGTCACCACATTAGAACGAAGGACACCACCCACCCTTGTCACTCAGGAATTTTTAAAGGACTTAGGAGCTGCAGGCCAGGAACCAGGGATAAAGACCAAATGAGCATTTCTTGTTATCCCACAGTGACATTAACCACCCACCATGCCCTGGGGCGCCTCCAAACCTTGCTGGGCTCCTCCCCAGCCTGGATGCCTCTCAAGGAGACAAGGCTCCCACCCCACCCCAGGGGGCTCCCAGAGAACTCTCCATTGGCCACAAGACATTGAGGCCCCAGTTCCTGTCTGGCCAAGACCAACGCTCTCCTGACCATCCTCCAACCCAGCACTGTCCCTCCCAGCTGGAGTCCCCATGCCGCCCACCCTGGGGCCATCAAACCCCGGCCGTGGCACTCACGGTCCACGCGGAGCTCTGCCTTGGTGGAGGACACGCCTGCACTGTTCTCGGCCAGGCAACGGTAGACGCCCATGTCTGCCGGCACCACAGCTGTGATGATGAGCTGGTGGCCACCCTGCTGGTCTTCACTGATCATGTAGTGGTCATCCTCCTCCAGCACCCTCCCATCCTTGAACCAGCGCACACTGGGCACCGGCTGGCCCGTCACCACACAGTCGAAGCTCACAGGGTACCCGTCAAGCACCTCCTGATTCTGCAGCTCGGTCAGGAACACGGGGGCTGGGAGGGACAGGAGGGCATGCCAGGAGTTAGCCCTGGGCTCCCCCTAGTTGCCCCAGCTGCCACGGTTCCATGTGCACGATCTGCACAGCACCCATTCCCATGGGAGTGCTGCAGACCCAGTGGCTAAACGCTTCTCCCCATTCTCCAGGAGAATCTTCTCTCTGCCAGCCTGGTTCCTGAGCTACCGTGAGGCCAGAGGGACAGCAGATGAGAAACAGGGAGGAGGGGGAGGTAAAGGGGAGACCAAGGTCGTGTGGGCTGGGCATCAGGGACTGGAGATGCAAGAGTGGCTCAGAACTGGAGAAGAGAGATCTCAAGACATGATGGTGCAGGTGACCAAAACCTCTAGGAAGTCAGTATTCACGTACTTGTTTCACAGATGACGCTCAGAGAAGCTAGCTAGTCATAGGCAGAGGTGGGATGTAAGTTGAGCTCTGTCTAACCCCAAAGTCAGGGGCCTTCCCAGCCCAGTGGGTTGCATCCGTAAACGGCCTGAAGCTTGAGCCCAGCCAACTCCCCGAGTGCTCAGCTTTGCCCTTCCTCTCTCCCCACCCCAATTCAGGTGGCTTGCAGACTCACCAGCCTCTGGGGTCAGCAAGCTGGGCACTGTCTCCGGAGGTGCTGCAGGGGCTGGGGCCACCCTGCCAATGCGCATCTCCACCCCCCGAGGCCTCTGTTCCAAGAGGCTGATGTCCACTCCAATGCCCATCGTGCCAAACATCTCCTGGAAGCGGGTGGCCGCCTGCTGGGCCTCAGCAACCTCCTCGAAGCGGATGCAGATGCAGTGCTCGTCTTCATGGTAGGTCTGCCAGTCCCCAGGCTCCTCAGGCTCTGCGGTGCCCTCGTCCGCACTGAGGAAGATCTCTTCATCTGAAACCTCGGCCGAGCCCTTGGTGCAGAAGAGGCGGTGCAGCCGCCGGGCGGCCCGGCGGAAGGCATCGTCCAGCTCGCCCCCGGAGGAACTCTCGGCCTCACTCTCCGTCCCGCTGACCACCACGCGGGCGCTGTGGGACACGTGGCCAAACTTGCTGCTCACCTGACAGGTGTAGTGGCCGGCGTCCGCATGGCCCAGGCCAGCGACCAGCAGAGAGCAGGTGCCGTCCCCAAGCTGGTCGATGTGGTAGTGCCGGCCGTCAGTCAGCTCCACACCATCCTTGAGCCAGCGGGCATGCACGTCCGCCTTGCTGGACACCACACACTCCAGACGCAGGACATCCCCCACCTGTGCCTCAACATCCCCAAATGTGCGGCAAAACACAGGCCCCTCCTGCTGCTTCAGCTCCTTCCGGACCTTGTAGCCCTTGAAGGCAGCCTGGATCTTCACAGCTGCCTGGTCCATGGATGGGGCACCCAGGTCCTCCACCCTCAGGTCTCCTGGCGGTGGGCACACTGTGGCCGGCTGCTCCTGCTGCTTCTGCGGCTTCTCAGACGGGGCTTCTGGGACCCCAACCTGTATGTACAGGTAAAGCAGGAAAACCGAAGCCCGGGTTGAGGAAGGATGGAGCAGGGCAACACAGGGCAGGGCTGGGAGCAGGGGCCGGTCTCCCACCCCAGCTCCACATCTCCCCCCTGCATGCCACTCTGCCTCCCTACCTGCTGGCAACCACACTACCTTCATTGAGCCGGTATGCCTGGCTCCTGCTATTGCCACAAAGCAAGCCCACCCTCCCTGAAATCAGTTCACATGGTCACCCTGGTCAGGACTGAGAGAGTTGTGAGGAACGCACCAGAGAAACCAGTTCCAGCTCTTCAGAAAAAAGTTTCAACAGCCAGGTGGATGGTGGATGGGTAAGTGGATTGGATGGATGCATGGGGGGTGGAGAGGTGAGTAGAAGGAGAAAGGATAGGTGAAGGGGTGTCATGGGTACATGATGGATAGGTGGATAGGTAGATAGTTGGACAGGTGGATGACAAACAGATGGACAGTTGAAAGGACAGGTGGGTACACAGACTGACGGATCAACGTATGAACAGATAAACAAGTGCAGAAGTGGTCAATGGATGGATAGATGGTTGGGTAAATGGATGGATAGATGAACAGATGGGTAGGTAGATGAGTGGATGAAGAGATGGATAGGCTGACAGGTAACCCTATGAATGGGTGAATGTGTGCAGGAATGGTGGATGAATAGATGGACGGGTGAGTGGATAGGTGGATGGATGTATGATGTGTGGATGAATGGACAGAAACACAGATGGATGGGTAGATAAATAGACAGGTATAAGGCTGGATAGATGGATGGGTGGGCGGATGGATGGTGGATGGACAAATGGACAGAAGCATAGATGGACGGGTGGATAAACAGACAGGTAGAAGAATGGATGGATGGATGGGTGGATAAATGAACGGGTGGATGGATGGTGGATGGATGAATGGCTGGGTGGTAGATGGATGATGCACGAATGGATGATGGATGCTAGATGATGGATGGCAGACACACAGGTGGGTGGATAGATGGAAAGATGGACAGTGGATGAACAGACAGATGGATAAATGGATGGCAGATAGGCCGACGCACAGATGGTGGATGGACAAGGCACAGATGGACAATGGATGGGTGGTGAAGATCTGAGACACCCAGGCCTCTCCTTTCAGGCAAAGCTGGAGCCTCACCTTGCTGGCCAGTGGTGAGGGGCCAGCCCTCCCGGCCTTCTTGAGGTAGGTAACCAGGGAAGGAGTGCCCGCCCGGGACTCGTCATCAGAGCTGGTGTGCGAGAGATCAGCCTCGCCAGTGCGTGTCAGCTCGTCAGCCGTGGAGTAGTCCTCGGAGAGGTCCGGGGCCACCTCCTCTGCCTCCTGCCGCTGGCGCTGCAGGCGTCCATCCTCCTCCGGCAGCTCGCTGATGGAGTCCAGCGTGGGCTCACGGCTCATACGGCGCTTCCGGGCCAGGGCCTCCCACAGCAGGTGCAGGTCACCCTCCTGGGCTGCCTCAGGGGGCAGGCTGGGCTGCATAGGGGCCTCATCCCCTGATCCCGGGGTCAGCACCACTAAGGAGGGCGGGAGACTGGTCAGCCAGGCTGGGACAGGACCAGATCCCAGACCAGCACTGGCTGCTGACCGTGGTTCCCCTCAACAGGCCTCTGCTGCTTGCCTGGCCCCCAGAGAACTCTGATGGCACAATGTTGCTGAGGTTTCAGAGGCTCTGAAGGGCCCTCTCAAAGCCTCAGTGCCCTCTGACCAGGGGAGGCCCCAGCCTTCCTCCAGTATGGAGTACGAGACCATCAGGAAAGAGAGGGCTCAGCCAAGTCAGACTGGGCCTGCCTGGGCCCTTCTGCTTCTGTTGCACAGAGGAGGCCCGGAACCCACGGGGCCTTGTCACAGCGTAGGGAGAAGACGGACACGGGGAGGCAGAGTCAGAGTCAGTGCAGGGGGGCTCAGAGTGAAGGGAGGGTTCAGGACAGGGGGAAGGGGGTTCAGAGCACAGGGGGGCTCAGAGTGCAAGAGCCTGAGGACTTAAGGGACCACAAGTGAGTACCAAGGACTACATTGGCCAGAACTCGGCTCAGGGAGAGCCTGGCCTGAAACCCAGGGATAGGGGTTCTGACAGGGGGCTGAGCCCCACCCACCTCAATCTCCTGTGGTGTGAGGAGAGCTCCCCAGGAGGACCCCGTGCATGGAGGGCCAGCCCACCCAGATGCCCCAGCCCCTCCCACGCTGGGCCCCAAGAGGACGCACCCTGGAAGGCAGCAGCCTCGGTGGAGGCTGGTCCTTGGATAGTGCCACAGCGGTACTCGCCCTGGTCCTCCGCGGAGAAGCCACGGATCACTAGCGTCTGCCGCTGACCTTGGGTGAGAACCTGGAAGCGTCCATTGGGCTGGATGGGCTCCATCCCTTTCAGCCAGAGGACCTCCCCTGCCTCAGAGACCTCGCACTCCAGACGCACTTCCTCGCCGGCTGCCACCTGCAGGCTCTCCGGAACGGTGGGCGCAGGCGCGGGCTCCAGAGGCTCTGCGGGAACAGCGTCCCGGCAGGGAGGGCGCATCAGCAAGGACGCACCCCAGGCTCCCCCGGTGACTTGGGAGGCTGTGAGCGCTCCAGGCGGGCCCCACCCTCACCAGCGGCCGAGGGCACAACTCACCGAGCCTCACCATCTGGGGCAGGTGCACCGGCTCCCCGGCGCCCGCGGGGCCCACGGCTGCCACGCGGAAGCGGTAGGTCTCCCCGGGCGCCAGGCCGTCGACCACACACTCGGGCCCCGGCACCAGCTCGTGGCACAGCCGCCACTCGCCCGTGGCCGCCGCCTTCATCTCCACCCGATAGCCGCAGAGACCACCGCCGCCGTCGCTCGCGGGCGCCACCCAGGACAGCGTCACGGAGCGGCCGCTGCGCCCCACCACCTCGGCGTCCTCGGGGGGGTCGGGGAGGCCTGTGGGGAGGGTCCCGGTCAGCCCCAGCCCCGCCCGCCCTGGGCTCTGGTCCCGGCCAAGTGTGGGCGCTGGGCGGGCCGCCTCCAGGCCTGTGAGCCGCTGTGCCCGGCGCCCGGCCGTCTCAGGGAGCCAGGGTCGTGTGCTGGAGTCACAGCGAGACTGTGTGCCTACAGCCCGCCCAGCGTGGGGGCCGCGGGGAGCCCCCAGGAGCCTCAGGGGCTGAAATTTCCCGCCCCGCCCCGCAGAGCCCTGGACCCCAGCTGCAGCGGGAGGCCCCAGCACCCACCCAGCACGGTGAGCCGCGCGGAGGCCACGGCGTCCCGGGCGGCGAAGGTGACCTCGCCTGCGTGGTGCGGCCGGGCGCGGTGCAGCAGCAGGGCGTGCTGGCTGCCGTCGGCTGTGACCGTCCAGTCGGCATCGTCCGGCTGCACTGCCGCGCCGTTCACGTACCAGGTGGCCTCGCCCACGGGCACCGCCTCGCTGAGCGCGCAGCTGAAGCGGGCCTGCCCCCCAGCCGGGACGGCCGCGTCCTGCGGGGGCTCCAGGACCTGCAGGCGCCAGCCTGCGGTGGGGGGGGGGGAAGGGGGGACGTGAGCGCGGGGCCGAGGGGCGGCCTCCGGCAGGCTCGGAGACCCCCAGGCCACCCCTCTCGCGGCCCCTACCTCCTGGCAGAGGAGGCAGCCCAGCCTCAGAGAGAGGGATCTCAGAGACCCAGGCCCCCACCGCGGTCACACACCCTCCCCCACCCCCACAGCGCGCGGTTCGGTGGGAGAAGCCTCAGAGACCTGCGGCCCCTCCCCGCAGCCCCAGCACCGCCCTCCGCGCGCCTCTGCTGCAAGGGATCCGGTGGGAGGGGCCTCGGAGACCACGCCCACCTGGGCCCCGCCCCCGCCCCCTAACCTTTGACGGTGAGGAACGCCGAAGTCACCACGTCCCCCGCCAGGAAGGTCACCCGACAGCTGTCCTGCGGCCGCAGGTTTTTGAGCAGCAGCAGATGCCGCAGGCCGTTCTCGAAGTAGACCACCTCGGCGTCCTCGGAGGTGCGCACCGGCTCGTCGTCCAGCAGCCAGGTGTGGGCGGCCACCTCGGGACGGGACAGCTGGCACTCGAACAGCGCCTCGCCGCCCTCGGGCGCTTCCACGTTCTCCAGGCCGCGCACCACCGTGTTCTTGGCTGCAAGGAGGGGATGGCTCAGGGGCGCCGGCCTCTTCCGGCCCAGGGCGCCCGCACCCCCCGAAGTCACGTGGGAGAGTCTCCCCCCCATCCCCGCAAGACAAAGGGCTGAATAGAATGTGACCACAAGCAGGGCCGCGCTCGGTGTCAACGTGGAGCTGCCATGTGCCCTGCCGACACCATCACCACGTTCTGGCCCGGAGAGGTTCCTCCCTGCCTCACAGGCGAGAAGCCTCACAGACTAGAAGCTCCCAGAGCCCCAGCACGCTCGAGCCCCAGTGCGCCTTGCTGCTTCCGGTTCTGGATCCAGCCCCCTTTCCTCTGGTCCCCCAGCCAGTCCTGTCAGACTTGCCCCCTGCTGCTCACCCAGTGGAACAGAGACCTCGGCCCTAAGTCAGCACCCCTTTCTAATTCTCCTGTATACGCTGTCTGTGAGTCTAATAAGCAGCCACCCATTTTTCATGGAAGCCATGAACTCCATGTCTAGCCACAGGGGGGCTTGCCACCTCCCAGGACCCCTTCTGATGACAATCCACGTACTGCAGGCGATGCCAGTGGGCTGCGCAGCCCAGGGGGTCTTCCTGGAGGAGGTATATCTCTGAGGATGGGCATGACTGAGCTGGGCAGAGGAGGTGTCCCCGCAGGAGGAGTGACAAGAGGGGACACCAGAATGGGAATAAGGAAGGGTGTGTGGGGGCAGTGGGAAGGCAGGCCAATGGGGTGAAGAATGCAAATGGCCAGGCAGAGGACTGAGAGCAGAGGGTGAGGTCAGGTAGGAAAGCAGCACCAGGTGACCCAGGGCTGGCCTGGATGCTGGGGGGCTGGGGGTCTGGCCTTGAGCCACAGGACAGCCAGGAGCCACTGCAGTCACTGAGCTGAGGGATGGGGGCAGCCTGGCCCAACGTCCAGGCCCACAGTCCGAACTGCTCTCTGGGGTACCCCAAATGGAACCCACACACAGCCCTGATGCTCCCTCTCAGTTTGTCCACAGAGTCTACACACACCACAGGCAGGAGTGTCCGCTCTGGATGGGGCCCTGGGGGAGTAGGGGGGAGGCCATCTCAGAGCAGAGGACCGGCGGGGCCTGACCACGTCCCTCTCTGGGCCACCCTCCTGGCCCTGGGTTGCTTGCGCACACACCAGGCTCTCCCTCGTCCCAGCCCCACCCATCAGAACTGACAGTGGCCACGGGGCCTTGGGGGTGTGTCCCACATCTCCACCGAGCTCCGATGGACAGCCGAGGGCCAGCAGGATCTACAGCTGCTCTGGCCGCGACGGGAGGGGCAGGGTGATAAGGGAGCGGGCCAGGCCTGCAGTCACTGCTGGAGCTCACCTCCTCAGCTCCCATCCAAGGACATCACCGCTGCTGGGTTTCAACAAAATCCCCAACTTTACGGCAGTGCCAGCCCCGGGTGCTGCCCTGTGCCTGTTCTCCCCTCAGCCCTGCCGAGGCCCAGAAGGCTCCGCCCCAGGTGGCCACTGCCCAGCCCCTCTCCTCCAGGCTGGGCTCTCGCTGCAGGCCTCCCCACAACTTCACCACCTTGAAGGGAGGGATTTTTGTATGTTCCCTGCTGTGCCTCTAGGGGCCAAAAAAAAAATGTTTAAAAAAATTGCTTGTTGAACTCATGAGTGAATGAGGCCGGCGTGACCTCAGGCAGTCAGTGGCCTGGACCACTCCCCCATGCTCATCCCCACTTGGATGCTCCCCTCACAACTGCCCCCACCCTCCTGCTCACTCACCACCTGAACGTTTCAAATTTTCCCAAATAGGAAGTAGTCCCAGCCAAATGACACCCCCTCCCCAGCAGGGGCTGCAGCCCACTGTCCCCCGCGCCTGGTCCCCCAACTGTGTGTGGCTGCAGTGTTGCAAACAGGGATGCAGGACTGGGAGCATCCTCTGAGTGACCAGCCAGGGAAGGGGCAGAGCTGGGGTCTGAACCCCGGGCCTCAGGCAGCTCAGCCCAGTGCCTCTGCTCTAGGACACAGCCCTGCAGACCGCAGGCCTGCCCACCGCTCCGCCTTGCCTGCCTCTACCTCCCCCAACCTCCCTGGGTGTCTTGGATGCAGGTTCTTCAGTGCAGCCTCTGCCCAGGGTTATTCCAGCCACCCCGTCCTGTCAGGCTGCTTGGGGAGGGGGTCTGGGATGGGTCGGCTCAGGGCCCAGCGCAGCTTCAGCAGGATCCACCCGCTGGAATCCTGTCTTTCTAGTATGGTCACACGGCGCTGGCTGTCACTGCCTGCCATTCCACCAGGACTGCTTGGCTCAAGCCACGCCGAAGCCATGCTGGGCCTGGGCTGCCCCCCAGGCCACCTCACCTTCCACTTGCAGCAGGGCCACCACACGGGTGCCCGCGGCCTCACAAGAATAGATGCCGCTGTCGCAGGGCAAGGCCGGCCGGAAGGACAGCCTGGCCACCGTCCAGTCCTGCTCTATGATGACGCGGTGCCCGTCAGCCCGCACCTCCTGCTCGTCCATCTTCCACGTGGCCTGCACCGGCCGTGAGTACTGGCAGAGGAGCTCGGCCGGGCCACCCTCCTCCACCGCCAGGTCCTGCATGGCACTGACCACCTCCACCACGGGATCTGTCGGCCGACACGCCGGGCACGCGTCAGCTGGAGCAGTGTGACTGCAACCCGCCCGCCCTCTGTGGTCAGCATCAGCGGCTCAGCAGCAAGCAAGCTCAGGGCTACAGTGGGAACGGCACCCTCCACGGTGGCCCAGGGCCCTACACACAGGGCAAACCTTGCCCCCACTCGCCCTACCCATGGCAAATGGCACCGTTGGCTTGGCCTCCATCCACTGCGCCCCTCCTCCCCCTTAAGCCCCCCTGGAGGCCCAGGGCACATGTTGCCCCAGCAGGGACACAATGCCCCCTCCTGAAAGCCCACAGGCCTCCTCAGGGTCCACAGACTCCGCTGGGCGCACGGCACCCCCAGCCCTCTTGTCCCTCTTCCATGGGTCTCACCGCCCCCCCAGTCTCCATCCCATATCCCCCTGCCAAAATCCTAGTCAACAAATGGTTCTCCCTGCGGACCTGGGTGAACGTCACATTCACTCTGCAGTAGTGCCAAGGAGGCCTGTCAGCAAACACGCCAGGCAAGCCCCGTGAGAGGCTGCCCATGGAGCACCCGACATCCGACTGCAAATGGGTTGAGGGGTCCCTGGCAGCCCGCTGCCCTCCCCCTCAGCTCGCTCTTTCCCAGAAGAGCAAAAGACTTCGCCCAAGCCCACGGCAGGGAAGCAGTCTAGAGCAGGGACAGTGCAGGCCGCGCCGGGACCGTGAAGGGTGCCCTTGCCTCCAGGCTGCCCTCTGTGTGTGTGTGAGGGAAGTGCAGCCGAGTGGCAGCAGGTAGGCAGCAGTGCCCAGGGCCCTACAGAGCAGGTGGCATGGGTTGGCTTTCAGTTTCATCACTCCCAGTCATCATCATGTGGGACAGCAGCCTGCCAGCCACACGCACCCATGACACATGTGGAGCAGAGTCCAGTCCTGGGCCTGGCGGCCAGTCCTTGACTTCTCGCCCCGAAGACTGAAGGCAGCGTGCGGGGGCAGCAGGTGCAGAAGCGCCAGCAAGGGGTGGGGTCTCATTGGCCGATACCTTTGACCAACAACTTGGCCGTAGAGACCAGGGGCCCCGCACGGTAGGTGACAGTGCCCGAGTCGGCGACCCCCAGACCCGAGAGCTCGAGGGAGTGGAAGGTGCCGTCACGCACGGAGATGGCACTCTGGGGGCCGTCCTGCAGCAGGGTCCCATCCAGCCACCAGCGGGCCTCTGGCCCACCCGCACGGGACACCTCGCAGGAGAATGTGGCCACCTCCCCCGCAAAGACGTCCACGTTCTGCAAGCCTCGTACCAGGTATGGTGCTGCCTCTGTGCAAGAGGGCGAAAGGAGGGCAGTCTGGGTTGCCCTGGGGTCTCAGGGGCCACCCTGGGGTCCAACATGCCAGGGTGCCTGGGGTCTGCAGGGGACACCCTGGGGTCTTCAGGGGCCACTGGGGTCCACTATTTGGGGCCACCCTGGGGCTGGCATCTGAGATCTGCCTGGGCCAACTGGCCCTTCCTGCTCACAGAATGAGACACGGCAACCACCCACAGTGAGCCCGTGAGAGCTGGCCGAGCCCCCCTGCACCCCACAGCCCCCCTCAGAACACGCCTGGTTTCACCAAAGGAGGTGAGTGACCTGCATCTACCTTTGCAGAAGGCAGAATGGACATGCGTCAAGCCCCACAACTGCAATCTTTATGGGGTAGGCTGTGGGGTGGGGAGGAAGGACCATGGGGCCTGCCGCTCTGAGAGGGGGGTCTGCCTCAGGAAGTGAGCCCTCCGTCCCTGGGAGTATGGGAGCAGTTGCTTCTCCCTTCGCAGAGTGCTGTTTGTCCTGATGTCCCCTGAAGTCCCTCAGTCCCTAAGATTCTGTGGCCCTAAAGCCATGTGGTAGCTGTCCCCACCTGCCTGCTCTGGGCCCCCTGCTCGCTTCCTCCATCCTCCACCTCAGGGCAGACACAGCAGACCGGCCGAGAGCACGGCTGCCCTCGCCCCGTGGGCGAGAGGGAAGGGGAGACTCAGGGAAGGGATAGCAACACCCTAGTTGCCTGGGGCTGGGGGTGCGTCCTCCCCGGTGAGGCTCGTACCCTGCCCCCACGCTCCCCTCTGCGCACCTTCCCCAGGCCAGCCTGGGGCCCCTCGTGAAGAGGGAGACACGTCCACAGTTGGCAAAGCCCAGCTTCCTCTGCACCTGATCCCACAGCCCTGACTCCTGTCCACCAGGAGGAAGGTGAGAGGGGCAGGTGAGCGACACGCACACAGGGACCACACCACAGGGTAGCCACGTGTCCGCCCCAGGCAGCCCTCCCTCAGAAGCCCACACAGCCTTCCTCGTCGTGCACTGCCAACACCCAGCCCCAGCCCCCCACCCCCACCCTCTCCCTAGAGTGCATGTCTGTCCCCACAGTGCCTGTCATCTCCAGCACAGCTCCCAGGCTTGCCTACACGCCACCCATTGGGCACCCACGCCCACAGCCCAGTGTCTGTATGCAGACCAGCTTGCCCTGGCTGAGGACACCTGGCCAAGAGAGGGGCCAAGGCACAGCCTCAGCGGACCCAACCCAGCTCCATGCTGCCCTTCACAGATGCCCACCCTGACGAACACATGAGGTCCAGCCCTGCTGAGGACATGCAGAAAACTGACCCTCTCCCATCACTCAACTTGAGGGCACTGCACTCTGGAGCTTCTCCTGGCCCCAGAGGCCACAGAGCTGACCATGTCTGTCCATCCTCTAAAGACTTGTGGTAGGGGGCACCTGGGACTCAGGACACACACTGTCTCCAAGTCCAACTTCTCTAGTAGATTGGAGGCTCCCTGAGGGCAGTGCTGTATCTGACCTCTCTTGAGGCAGATAGTAGACAGATGATGGGTGCATGGTAGATGGGTGAATAGATGGATGGATGGTGGGTAGATGGATGGCAGATGGATGACAGATGATGGATGGATAGTGGATGAATGGATGGATGGATGGAAGGATACACAGATAAATGAATGGAAGAGGGATGATAGATGATGGATGTATGGATAGTAGATGGATGGTGGATGGATGATGGATGGATGGTAGATGGATGGATAGATGAATCGATGGATGGTGGATGGATGGGACCAGTTTGAGAAGCTGGAGTAGGACTGCAGGGGAGGGGCACTCAAGGTCAGGCACTCAGGGATGTGCTGCTCTGGGGACAAAGTATAACCCAAGTTGAATATCCTTAAAAATCCTGTTTGCATGCCTGGGGCCAAGTACACTATGCCCAAAATTGCCCACGTGTCACAGGTACGCCGTTGCATCAGCACCTGGGAGCCCGTCGGGCGTGCAGGTGTTAACATGGACATGAGCGCATGGACCTCTGTCACAGGAGTAGCTATGTGGAGGGTGGAAATGCAAAAGGCCTTGTCTCCACCTCAGGGCCCAGGCCCACAGCAGCCGGGCTCCCGTCTCCCTCCTGCAGACAGCACTAATCCCACACAGGGATGCCCTACACCAGCATTTCTCAAATTGATCCTTACTGGTCCACCACAGTGGCCTCTCTGGCCTGTGGCTTTAGTGGTCAGGGGGTAGTAAATTGTCCCCTAAGGCAAGATATCTACTAGAAGGCTTGGGTTCCTGGCTGTACCCCCAATAGCTACTAGATGAGAGAAACACGCATACCCACAGCAGGGGAGCCAGGGGCGGGAGGGGCTGCCCACCTGTGACCTTCAACTGGGCCTCTGAGCTACACGAACCCACTTGGAAACTGATGGTTCCAGCGTCCTCGAGAGTCACCTGAGGGACAGAGATGGGGTCTCAGCCGACAACCCCATGCCAACCATCTCTGCTTGCAAGTCCCAGCCCAACCCAGCTGGAGTTGGAACCGTCCCCCTCCTGTACCCCTTGGAGCACTGTGGGTGGAGCAGGTCCCGGGGACCCCACCTTGTGCAGGGTGAGCAAGTGGAGGGTGCCTTGCTCCACCGTGATGTCATTCATCTCGTTGGCCTGCAGGGGCACCCCTCCCAGGGCCCAGCGAGCCTCCTGGCCCAAGGCCCTGGACAGCCGACACCGGAAGTGGGCATCCTGGCCCTCACTGAGCTGCACGTCCTGCAGGGGCTCCACGATGGTCACCTCAGGAGCTGCACACAGTGGGGCGTGGTGTCAGCCTCGGTGTCTGGGAGCCCCTCACTCCATCAGGAGCACCTCCCAGTCCTCGGGGTCTGTCCCCAGAACCCCCCCCCCAATTCCTGAAGACAAGTAGGAGTCCCGTTCTCTGCGTCCTCCACCTCTCGGCAGAGTCCGAAGTCTGGACTCTGACCCTCGGAGATGATGGAGTGACCACAGGCTGGGGGTGAGCCGAAATTTGCAGCAGCCCCCCAACAAGAGAATCAGGAGGCACAGCTAAGCTCAGACACCCCGTGAGCCTCCATGAAGCCCGCCACCCCCACCCCACCAGCCTGACTCGGCCCCTCAGCCCGGGATGCCCCCACCCACCCTGACACCTCGGGCCATCCCCACGTGGCCCACTCACAGGTCCACTTCCCTGCCAGTTCCCCGCCCCTAGAGGTGGACACCCCTGCGGTCTGTCTCTGCCCCACAGGCCCTGGACGTTCGGGCTCAAGCGCAGTGAGCAGGGAGACCAGCTGGCAGCTACTACCTCGGACGGTGAGCTGGGCAGAGGATGTGTGGCGGCCCACGTGGAAGGAGATAGTGCCTGCGTCCTCGGGCGTCACGCCCCTCAGCCGGAGCATGTGGGTGCAGCCACGCACAGCCACATCTGTCACCTCATTGCTCTGCAGCGGCAGGCCCTGCAGGCGCCACTGCACGTCCGTAGCCCCGGCCCGAGACACCTCGCAGCTGAAGTCCACGTCCCCGTGGGCCTGCACCTCGGCATCGATCAGCCCCCGCACGATGGTCACCTCCGGCTCTGGGAGTTGGGCGAGGAGGGTTCTTTACCAGCCAGGTCAGAGCACCCAGACAAGCTCCCATGCCCCTCCACCAGGAAGACCTCCCAAACGCTTGCATGCTCTTCTCCTGCCACAGCCTCTATTTGCCCCACAGGGCATTGCCACCAAACACGGCCCCCTCCCATGACACTGAGCTTCTGGAAGCAGAGGCTGGCTGGGGGTGGCTCTGTTTGGAAGAAGCAGGCAAGGACTTGTGGGGTGGTGGGCTGCCTCGGTTGGTCCCCACCCTGCAGCCAGCGCTCCCCTGGCTGGGACATCAGGGAAGCAAGACCTTCAGGACAGACAGGCAGGGGCTCAGAGATGGTGGCCCAGGCCAGACTGCCCACCTGCTGGTTGGGGGCAGGAGGCAGGGCAGCCTTCAGGGGCCACAGCCTCAGTTTCCCCACTGTCAACACTTCTCTGGGGGCATCAGGATGGGAGTGGTGCAGAAATGAGCAGAGAGAGCCTGTAACCCCAGGGGCCTCGCAGCCACCTCTGCAACAGCGCCTGATGGGAGGCGGGGGAGATGCTGGGGCGGCAGGTGTGGCAGGAGGGCTCACCTCCGACCCTGACGGAGGCCAAGGTCTTCTGGCCAGCCACCACACAGGCATACTCGCCCGTGTCCTTGGCCTCGAGCCCGTGGATCAGCAGCTCGCACACGGCCCCCTGGCGCCGCATCTCGAACTTGGGGCTCCCGTGCAGCTCCTCGCCCTCCTTGAGCCACCGCACAGGGGCCCCAGGCTCCGCCGTGCTCAGCTCGCAGCGCAGCCGGGCCACGCCACCTGCCTCCTGCTCCACGCTCTGCAGCTCCGTCTCGAATGCGGGCCTGAGGGCTGGGGGCCAGGGAGGGCGCTTAGGGCACTGAGCAAGCCTGCCCGCTCCACGGGGACGGCTGGGGGTGGAGCCGGGGCGGGCAGGGGCTGGCGGGCAGCTCACCACGGACCGAGAGACTGGCTGTGCTCTGCGCGTGGCCCGTGTCGCAGGTGTAGCGGCCGGCGTCCTCCTGCTCAGCGCCACGCACCCGCAGCTCAGCGACCTTGCCCTCCTGCACCATCTGGTACTTGGCGCAGGGGAAGAGCTGCAGGGAGCCCTTGCGCCACTCCACGCTGGCACCTGCGTGGCTCAGCTCGCAGCGCAGGTGCGCTGTCGCGCCCTCATCCACCTCCTGGGCCTGCAGCTCCCGGAGGAACCGCACAGGCGCAGCTACCGAGTAGGGAGAGAGCATGAGATTGGGTACAGGCGCAGCTACAGGAGGTGGGACCGTAGGGGCAGCCACGGGAGGGGGGCTGTGAGCAGTGGGGCGCAGAGCCTCAGGCCAGCTCCACCCACCCTGCGTGAGCTCATGTTCCCCCCATGGGACGCCCAGGGTGGGGCTGCAGCCCAGAGGGTCCCCCCAAAGCATGAGGGCCCTGAACGAGGGCAGGCTGGCCTCGGGGCCCACCTGTGACAGTGAGGGTGGCACTGGTGGCCTGGGAGCCACAGGTGCAGGTGTACTCGCCCGCGTCCTCCCGGCGCACATCCCGCAGCACCAGCTCTGCCCTGTGGCCCCGCTGCTGCGGCTCCCGGCGCCCATCCGCCTGCAGCTCCAGGCCGCCCTTGCTCCAGACCACGGTGGCGCTGGGCTCCGACAGCTCGCACCACAGGCTGGCCATGGCGCCCTCCTCAGCCTGCAGGCTCTGCAGCGGCTCCCTGAACACCACCTGTGGGGCTGTGGGGTTGGCGGAAGGAGGGGAGACAGGGTCAGCCCCGAGACGGGCAACCCAACACTCAGTCAGCTCTGCTGAGGGCGTAGGCCAGGCATGGCCACTGGCGTCACTTCAGCCGCCTGGCCTGCCCACAGGCCCACTGCCTTGAGCTCCAGGAGGCCTAGGTGGGAGCGTGAGTCACGAGTCTGGGTCCCCTTTAAGGGAAGGAGGGACTGTGGTGAGGACCGTGAGATGAGCTCTAGATCCGGCCAGGGCTGTTGTCATGTGGCCTCTACCCAGGACACCCATGGGCAGGGCTGTGTCCCTCCAGGTCATCAGGGCAGGGGGTCCATGCAGACCCCGGGGGCAGGGCCACAACCCTCAGATCCTGACTAGAGGCTGTGAGGGATGGGGGAAAGTTGGGTGGATTGAGATGGAGAGGGCACAAGGTGGGAATTCTGTCCCCACAAAAAGCACTGGCCACATGAGGTCACTGGGATTGAGATCAGTACCAGACAATAGACAACCGGACAATGCTGTGACAGGTGAGCAGACAGGGACAGACGGAAACTGTCCAGGGCACAGAGAGGCGAGACACATGGGGAGCCAGTGGGCACAGACACAGGGAGACGAGAATGGGCACCCGAGCTCGTCCAAGAGACCACATGGAGTCTTTACCCTTGACGGTCAGCGTGGCCGAGGTCCTCTCCTTCCCGCACACGCACGAGTACTCCCCGGCGTCTGCCACGGCCAGGCCACGGATCTCCAGCTCACACACGGCCCCGTCCTGTCTCAGGCTGACTCTGTCCCCAGCTCTGAGGGTCTCAGAGCCCTTCCTCCACTCCACGGGGGCCGCCTTGCTCAGCTCACAGCGCAGTGTGGCCGTGGCCCCCTCTGTCGCTTCCTCCTTCCTCAGACCCTTGGTGAACTTGGCAGGCAGGGCTTAGGGAGTCAGAAAGACATGGTAACAATCACATTTTGAGCAGGTGGAAGACACAGGAAATGGACAGCACAGAGAAGACAGAAACCCAAGGGGACAGAGGACACGTGCTGGGGGTGCCGAGCACACGCTGTGGGCTGTGGCTTCCCTCGGCCAGTACGTGCACAGTATGGCGTGGTTCACTCCATGGCCCCTCAGGCCTCATGCTGTGTATGAATCTGGTGGGCTGGGTTGGGAGGGTCAGAAACACAGAGAGAACATCAGATTCTCTGGAAAACTCTACAGGCAGGACATGACAGGACAGAGGAAAGCACACAGACTCCAACAGGACCCAACAGTGGGGACATGAGGGGTGGGAAGTGGCCTAGATGCTGGCTTCCCACGGTTTGCACAACTGCCCAGGAGGCAGAAGGGACTGTGTGGAGTTACGGGAAGAGGGGGACACTGAGATGGGAGAGAACATGGAATGAATGCTGATGGATGTCACGAACTCAATAATTGGACACCAAAACACAGCTTGGCTCCGCCACACAGGTCTTTACCCCTGACGGTCAGCATGGCTGAGGTCCTCTCCTGCCCGCACACGCACGAGTACTCCCCGGCGTCCGCCAAGGCCAGGCCACGGATCTCCAGTTCACACGCGGCCCCATCCTGTCTCAGGGTGACTCTGTCTCCAGCTCTGAGGGTCTCGGGCCCCTTCCTCCACTCCACGGGGACCGCCTTGCTCAGCTCACAGCGCAGTGTGGCCGTGGTGCCCTCTGTGGCCTCTTCCTTCCTCAGACGCTTGGTGAACTTGGCGGGCAGGGCTGAGAGCAAGAACGACATGGACTATCACACTTTCTGAGCACACCAATGAGACAGGACATGGACAGCACAGAGATGACAGAAACCCAAGGGGACAGAGGCCACGTGCTGGGTGTGCTGAGCACACGCCTTGGGCTATAACTTCCTTCAGCCAGTATGTGCACAGTATGGCGTGGTCCATTCCGTGGCCCCTCAGGCCTCATGCTGTGTATGAATCTGGCGGGCAGGGTTGGGAGGGTCAGAAACACACAGAGAACATCAGATTCTCTGGAGAACTCTAGAGGCAGGACACGACAGGACAGAGGAAAGTACACAGACTCCAACAGGACCCAACCAGTGGGGACATGAGGGGTGGGAAGTGGCCTAGATGCTGGCTTCCCATGGTTTGTACAACTGCCCAAAAGGCAGAAGGGATCCTGTGGAGTTACAGGAAGAGGGGGACACTGAGATGGGAGAGAACATGGAATGAATGCTGATGGATGTCATGAAGTCAAGAATTAGATGCCAAAACACAGCTTTGCCAGGGCACACACGGTCTTTACCCCTGACGGTCAGCGTGGCCGACGTCCTCTCCTGCCCGCACACGCACGAGTACTCTCCAGCATCCGCCACGGCCAGGCCACGGATCTCCAGCTCACATACAACCCCGTCTTGCTTCAAGGCGACTCTGTCACCGGTTCTGATGGTCTCAGAGCCCTTCCTCCAATCCACGGGGGCCGCCTTGCTCAGCTCACAGCGCAGTGTGGCCGTGGTGCCCTCTGTGGCCTCTTCCTTCCTCAGACCCTTGGTGAACTTGGCGGGCAGGGCTGCAATGGCCATGAAGTCAGGGAGAACATCTCACTCTCTGGGGGACTCTGTGTCCAGGACAACGACACCCACAACAACCAGACAAACTGCCAAGGGCCACAGCATGAATGAGTGAACAGAGGCACAGATGGTGAGGGAGGGAAATGGAAGGAGAGGAACAGAGGACACAAGGGCTGGACATGAACATCGGGACACAGATCGGAAGGGGAGATGTGAGCTGGGAGAGACCCAGGGACCCCACATGGAGAGAAACAGATGCACACAGAGCCCAACATGGGAAAAGGTAGAGACACATGGTGGAAACGTGTAGACGCCGAGCCTCTGGTCCATGTGGGTACATGTGGTCTTTACCCCTGACGGTCAGCGTGGCCGAGGTCCTCTCCTGCCCGCACACGCATGAGTACTCCCCGGCGTCCACCACGGCCAGGCCACAGATCTCCAGCTCACACACGGCCCCGTCCTGCCTCAGGCTGATTCTGTCCCCGGCTCTGAGGGTCTCGGGCCCCTTCCTCCACTCCACGGGGGCCGCCTTGCTCAGCTCACAGCGCAGTGTGGCCGTGGCCCCTTCCATGGCCTCCTCCTTCCTCAGACCCTTGGTGAACTTGGCGGGCAGGGCTGAGAGCAAGAACGACATGGTAATAATCACGTTCTAAACATGTGGAATATACAGGACATGGACAGCACAGAGAAGACAGAAAACCCTTGGGGACACACGCATCACACTGGGTATGCCAAGCACACGCTGTGGGCTGTGGCTTCCCTTGGCCAGTATGTGCACAGTATGGCGTGGTCCATTCCGTGGCCCCTCAGGCCTCATGCTGTGTATGAATCTGGTGGGCAGGGTTGGGAGTGTCAGAAACACACAGAGAACATCAGATTCTCTGGAAAACTCTAGAGGCAGGACACGACAGGACAGAGGAAAGCACACAGACTCCAACAGGACCCAACAGTGGGGACATGAGGGGTGGGAAGTGGCCTAGATGCTGGCTTCCCATGGTTTGTACAACGGCCCAAAAGGCAGAAGGGATCCTGTGGAGTTACGGGAAGAGGGGGACACTGAGATGGGAGAGAACATGGAATGAATGCTGATGGATGTCATGAAGTCAAGAATTGGATGCCAAAACACAGCTTTGCCAGGGCACACACGGTCTTTACCCCTGACGGTCAGCGTGGCCGACGTCCTCTCCTGCCCGCACACGCACGAGTACTCTCCAGCATCCGCCACGGCCAGGCCACGGATCTCCAGCTCACACATGGCCCCGTCCTGCCTCAGGCTGACTCTGTCTCCAGCACTGAGGGTCTCAGAGCCCTTCTTCCACTCCACGGGGGCCGCCTTGCTCAGCTCACAGCGCAGTGCCCCTGTGGTCCCTTCCATGGCCTCCTCATTCCTCAGACCCTTGGTGAACTTGGCGGGCAGGGCTGCAATGGCCACGAAGTCAGGGAGAACATCTCACTCTCTGAGGGACTCTGTGTCCAGGACAGGGACACCCACAAAAACAAACAAACTGCCAAGGGTCACGGCATGAATGAGTGAACAAAGGCACAGATGGTGAGGGAGGCAAATGGAAGGAGAGGAACAGAGGACACAAAGGACGGGACACGAACATCGGGACACAGATTGTAGGGGGAGATGTGAGCTGGGAGAGACCCAGGGACCCCACATGGAGAGACACAGACACCCACAGAGTCCGACACTGGAAAAGGTAGACACATGGTGGAAAGGTGCAGACACCGAGCCACTGGTCCATGTGGGCACGCGTGAGCTTTACCCCTGACGGTCAGCGTGGCTGACGTCCTCTCCTTGCCGCACACGCACGAGTACTCCCCAGCATCTGCCACAGCCAGGCCACGGATCTCCAGCTCACACACGGCCCCGTCCTGCCTCAGGCTGACTCTGTCCCCGGCTCTGAGGGTCTCAGAGCCCTTCCTCCACTCCACGGGGGCCGCCTTGCTCAGCTCACAGCGCAGTGTGGCTGTGGCCCCCTCTGTGGCCTCTTCCTTCCTCAGACCCTTGGTGAACTTGGCAGGCAGGGCTGGGGGCCAGAAAGACATGGGCTATCACACTTGCTGAGCACACCAATGAGACAGTGCATGGACAGTACAGAGATGACAGAAACCCATGGGCACACAGGCCACGTGCTGGGTGTACTGAGCACACGCTGTGGGCTGTGGCTTCGCTCAGCCCAGCCTGTGGAGTGTGGCTGTGGCCCCTTTCATGGCCTCCTCAGGCCTCATGCTTTGTATGAAACTGATGGGAGGAGATGGGGAGGTTTGGAACAACACGAAGAACACGATGTTCTCTGGAGATTGTTCAGACACAGGACATGACGGGACAGAGGAAAAGACACAGAACCCAACAGGACAACAGGACACAACCAGCAGTGCCACAAGGGGTGGGAAGTGGCTTAGATTCCAGTTCCTGTGGTTCACACAACAAGAAAGTGGAAGGAATTCCAGGGAGTTGTGGGAAGAAAGTGACACTGAGATGGGAGAGAATATGGAAGGAACGCAGACAGACGTCATGAACTCAATAACTGGACGCCGAAAAACAGCTTTGCTAGGCCACACACAGTCTTTACCCCTGACGGTCAGCGTGGCGGAGGTCCTCTCCTGCCCGCACACGCACGAGTACTCCCCGGCGTCTGCCAAGGCCAGGCCACGGATCTCCAGCTCACACATGGCCCCGTCCTGCCTCAGGCTGACTCTGTCCCCGGCTCTGAGGGTCTCTGGCCCCTTCCTCCACTCCACGGGGGCCGCCTTGCTCAGCTCACAGCGCAGTGTGGCCGTGGCCCCCTCTGTGGCCTCTTCCTTCCTCAGACCCTTGGTGAACTTGGCAGGCAGGGCTGAGAGCAAGAACTACATGGTAACAATTATGTTCTGAACACGTGGAAGACACAGGACATGGACAGCACAGAGATGACAGAAACCCAAGGGGACAGAGGCCACGTGCTGGGGGTCCCAAGCACACGCTGTGGGCTGTGGCTTCCCTCGGCCAGTACGTGCACAGTATGGCGTGGTTCACTCCATGGCCCCTCAGGCCTCATGCTGTATATGAATCTGGTGGGCTGGGTTGGGAGGGTCAGAAACACACAGAGAACATCAGATTCTCTGGAGAACTCTACAGGCAGGACACGACAAGACAGAGAAAAGCACACAGACTCCAACAGGACCCAACAGTGGGGACATGAGGGGTGGGAAGTGGCCTAGATGCTGGCTTCCCACGGTTTGCACAACTGCCCAGGAGGCAGAAGGGACTGTGTGGAGTTACGGGAAGAGGGGGACACTGAGATGGGAGAGAACATGGAATGAATGCTGATGGATGTCACGAACTCAATAATTGGACACCAAAACACAGCTTGGCTCCGCCACACAGGTCTTTACCCCTGACGGTCAGCATGGCCGAGGTCCTCTCCTGCCCGCACACACATGAGTACTCCCCGGTGTCCGCCAAGGCCAGGCCACGGATCTCCAGTTCACACGCGGCCCCATCCTGTCTCAGGGTGACTCTGTCTCCAGCTCTGAGGGTCTCGGGCCCCTTCTTCCACTCCACGTGGGCCGCCTTGCTCAGCTCACAGCGCAGTGTGGCTGTAGTCCCCTCTGTGGCCTCTTCCTTCCTCAGACCCTTGGTGAACTTGGCAGGCAGGGCTGAGAGCAAGAATGACAGGGACTGTCATACTTTCTGAGCACACTAATGAGACAGGACATGGATAGCACAGAGATGACAGAAACCCAAGGGGACAGAGGCCACGTGCTGGGTGTGCTGAGCACACGCCTTGGGCTATAACTTCCTTCAGCCAGTATGTGCACAGTATGGCGTGGTCCATTCCGTGGCCCCTCAGGCCTCATGCTGTGTATGAATCTGGCGGGCAGGGTTGCGAGGATCAGAAACACACAGAGAACATCAGATTCTCTGGAGAACTCTAGAGGCAGGACACGACAGGACAGAGGAAAGCACACAGACTCCAACAGGACCCCACCAGTGGGACATGAGGGGTGGGCAGTGGCCCTGATGCTGGCTTCTCATGGTTTGTACAACTGCCCAGGAGGCAGAAGGGACTGTGTGGAGTTACGGGAAGAGGGGGACACTGAGATGGGAGAGAACATGGAATGAATGCTGACAGATGTCACAAAGTCAATAATTAGATGCCAAGATACAGCTTGGCCCAGCCACACATGGTTTTTACCCCTGACGGTCAGCGTAGCCGAGGTCCTCTCCTGCCCGCATATGCACGAGTAGTCCCCGGCGTCTGCCACAGCCAGGCCATGGATTTCCAGCTCACACACGGCCCCATCTTGCTTCAGGATGACTCTGTCCCCCGCTTTCAGGGTCTCGGGCCCCTTCCTCCACTCCACGGGGGCCACCTTGCTCAGCTCACAGCGCAGAATGGCCGTGGACCCCTCTGTGGCCTCTTTAGTCTTCAGATCTTGGATGAACTTAGCAGGCAGGGCTGCGGAGGGTCAGATGGACAGAAGCCATCAGCTCTTCTGGGGGACTGGGGCCACCATGTGAACACAAGGTGGAAACAAAAGCAGGCAGGGTGGACGCATGGGAGGAGGCAAGACAGTGTGTGCATGACAGTAAGGTCCTCCTGTGTCCTGCCTGCAAAGGTGCAGGGTGGCGGGGCACTGGCTCCATCCAGCTTCTTGTCTTCTTAAAGGGCATCCTGTCCCACCCGTGACCTTTCATACGGGCCAAGTGCTGACCTCTCCTGCACCCCAAGCTCCCAGCCGGGCTCCCCTAGCTCACCACACTCTCATGCAACAATGCAATGGACACCTTTCCCAGGAAGACCCCCTGGGACACACCTTCTGGTCATGACATCCACAGCCCCCTTGTCACCCTCACTATGTGCTGCCCATCTCAAGCAGCGCGTCCGTCCAGCACCGCCCGCACCTGGACACATCTGGGCTTAATGCATGCCATCCCCACTCATGCCAGGCTGCACCACCTCCAAATCACACGTTCCTGTCCTGATTCCACTGCACCCCCACTTCCTGGCTCTGATCCCTCAGACCCCAGTGGACTCCAGTCGTGGCCTCCTAACCTCCTCTGGTCTGCTGACCTGCCAGCCTCTTCTTCATCCCGACTCCAGGCAGAGTGTGAGCTTCACAAGTTACAGCTGAACAGGGCCCACACTGGTTACACCCTGTCATGGGCTGAACCGCATTCCCTTAAAATTTCCCTGTTGGGGTCCTAACCTCCAGGACCTCAAAATGGGGCTGTATTTGGAGATGGGGTCTTTACAGAAGTGATTAAGGCAAAATGAGGTCACTGGGGTGGGCCCTGATCCCACATGACTGGTGTCCCTATGAGAAGAGGAGATCATGACACCTGAAGGGGGACAACCATGTGAGGACACAGGGAGAAGACGGAGGGCTGTCCACATGCCAAGGAGAGGCCTCAGGAGGAACCAGCCCTGCTGATACCCAGATCTTGGACTTCCAGCCTCCAGACTGGGAAGAAATAAATTTTTGATGTTTAAGCCACAGTTACGTTGTTAAGCCATTCAGATTTTGGTCCGAGGAGTTGGGGTGCTGCTGTGACAAATACCTAAAATCACAGGGGTGGCATTGAAACTGGGTAATGGGTAGAAGCTGGAAGAGTTTTGAGGGGCGTGTTAGACAAATCAAGGTTGGCTTGAAGAGATTATCTGTAGAAATGTGGACATTAAAGGTGCTTCTGGTGAGGGCTCAGATGGAAATGAGGAACCTGTTATTGGAAACTGAAAGAAAGGTGATCCTTTTATAAAAGTCCTCAGTGAAGTACTTGCTGAGTTGTGCCTAGGGTTTTGTGGAAGTTAGAACTTGTGAGTGAATGTGGACATTTAGCCAAGGAGACGTCTAGGCAAAGTGCTGAGGGAGCAGCCTGCCTTTTCCTTGCTGCTTATAGTACAACAAGAGAGGAGAGAGAGAAGTTGAAGGAGGAATTGCTAAGCAAAAAGAAACCAGAAATTGAAAATTGAGAAAATTTTTAGTCTATCCAAATAGCAAAAAGTGAGAAACCATGTTCCGTAGAGAACACCAAGGGTGCGGCTGGAATATCATTTGCATAACAGATGATGAACATGAGCCCTGGATCCAACCAGCCCTCTCAGCAGAAGCCGGGGATAGAGATGGGATGATCCAGGAAGGATGCGTGGAGGGCCCTCTTGCCTCATGGCTTGGACTCCTGTGGACTTCATGGAGACCAACAAGGCTTTTGAGAATTTTATACCAGCAGAAATGCTGCCAAACATGCCTGAATAGGACAGAGAAGGGATGAAACAATGGAAGCTGTCAGAGTCCTGGGATTTCTCCAAGATGGGCCAACAGAGCTATCTGGCTGTGAACACACGTTATCCTTCAAGGATGGGGAAAAATGACTCCAAAGGCAATTCCAAGGTTGGCAGAGCTGCCATTGCATCCATAGGCTCAGAGGGCCACGCCACCTCTCCCCAGGGCCAAGGGGGCAAGGCCACCACTCAGGTGGGGCCCGAGGACAGAGCATCGAGCCGAAGGATCCTTCTCCAGGATTAAAGTCGAACAGAATTTGTCCACCCGTGCTGGGCTTCCATGGCACCAGAGGCCTCTTTCTTCTCTCGTATTTATTCATTTGGAATGGAAATCTCTCTCCTACACCTGTCCCACTCTGGTGCTTTGGAAGTGCATAACTTGTCTGCTTTCGCAGGTTCACGGCTGGAGAGGAATTCTGCCTCAGGACGAATCGCACCTCGACTCTCACCACAATTTAGACGATATTTAGATCGCGCTTTGGACTTAGAGTTGGCGCTGGAATGGGTTAGGACATTTGGGCTTTGGGGATGGGATGAATGTGCGCTGCACGTGAGGACACGCATTCTGGGGGGGCAAGAGGGCAGAGACTTACAGACTGAGATTCGTATGTTGAAGTCCTAACCCCCAGGATCTCAGAATGTAAACTTGTTTGGAAATAAGGTCTTTACAGAGATAATTAAGGAAAATAAGGTTATCAGGACTGGTGTCCTTATAAGAAGAGGCGATAAGAGGAGATGAGGACACAGGGAGAAGACATCCGTGTACACACCAAGGAGAGAGGCTTCAGGAGGAAGCAGCCCAGCAGACACTTTGATCTCGGACTTTCAGCCTCCAGAACCGGGAGACTATAAATGGCTGTTAAGTCACTGTCTGGTATTTGTTACACATCCCCAGCTGAGGGCGTTTCTGCAAAACCTCAAGGGTGGGTCGAATGCTGCCACCAGACACAGAGGGCCTGGCCTGTCTGGCTACTTCTTCCCTGAACCCCTCAATGCTCCACCTCAGTCCTCCTGGGAATGTCTGTCAAATGACAGGCAAGCCCCCAATTCCATGCCTGGGGCCCACAGCCTACACATCTCTGCAGGCTCGGCCACATGCAGGCCAGTGGCCCCAGGCAGCTCTCATGGACCCTGATGCCTGTCTGCTGGTGCCTCCCTGCAGGTCCCTGTACCACCTCCCCTCAGGGTCTGTATCCCCAGGGCCTAGACAGGGTCAACTAGTATATTCTCATTGTGTTTGTGGGATGGATCAGAGAGATGGTGAGTGTGCCCTGAGAAACAGTAACACCAAGAGACAAGAGGAGAACACAGAACGAATAGCAAAGTCATTCAGGTGCCCAAAGATGGTCGTTACCCCTGACAATGAGTGTGGCCGAGGTCCTCTCCTGCCCGCACACGCATGAGTACTCCCCAGCATCCACCATGGCCAGGCCATGGATCTCCAGCTCACACACGGCCCCGTCCTGCCTCAGGCTGACTCTGTCCCCAGTTCTGAGGATCTCAGAGCCCTTCCTCCACTCCACGGGGGCCGCCTTGCTCAGCTCACAGCGCAGTGTGGCTGTGGCCCCTTCCATGGCTTCCTCCTTCCTCAGACCCTTGGTGAACTTGGCGGGCAGGGCTGGGGGCCAGAAAGACATGGGCTATCACACTTGCTGAGCACACCAATGAGACAGTGCATGGACAGTACAGAAATGACAGAAACCCGTGGGCACACAGGCCACGTGCTGGGTGTACTGAGCACATGCTGTGGGCTGTGGCTTCGCTCAGCCCAGCCTGTGGAGTGTGGCTGTGGCCCCTTTCATGGCCTCCTTCGGCCTCATGCTTTGTATGAAACTGATGGGAGGAGATGGGGAGGTTTGGAACAACACGGAGAACACGATATTCTCTGGAGATTGTTCAGACACAGGATATGACGGGACAGAGGAAAAGACACAGAACCCAACAGGACAACAGGACACAACCAGCAGTGCCACAAGGGGTGGGAGTGGCTTAGATTCCAGTTTCCTGTGGTTCACACAACAAGAAAGTGGAAGGAATTCCAGGGAGTTGTGGGAAGAAAGTGACACTGAGATGGGAGAGAACATGGAACGAATACCGACGGACGTCATGAAGTCAATAGTTGGATGCCAAAACAAAGCTTTGCCCGGCCACACACAGTCTTTACCCCTGACGGTCAGCGTGGCCGAGGTCCTCTCCTGCCCGCACACGCACGAGTACTCCCCGGTGTCCGCCAAGGCCAGGCCACGGATCTCCAGCTCACACACAGCCCCGTCCTGTCTCAGGCTGACTCTGTCCCCAGCTCTGAGGGTCTCGAGCCCCTTCCTCCACTCTACGGGGGCCGCTTTGCTTAGCTCACAGCGCAGTGTGGCCATGGCCCCCTCTATGGCCTCTTCCTTCCTCAGACCCTTGGTGAACTTGGCAGGCAGGGCTAAGAGCAAGAACAATATGGTAACAATCATGTTCTGAACACATGGAAGACACAGGACATGGACAGCACAGAGATGACAGAAACCCATGGGCACACAAGCCATGTGTTGGGGGTGCCGAGCACACACTGTGGCCCGTAGCTTCCCTCGGACAGTATATGCACAGTATGGCGTGGTCCATTCCGTGGCCCCTCAGGCCTCATGCTGTGTATGAATCTGGCGGGCAGGGTTGGGAAGGTCAGAAACACACAGAGAACATCAGATTCTCTGGAGAACTCTAGAGGCAGGACACGACAGGACAGAGGAAAGCACACAGACTCCAACAGGACCCAACCAGTGGGGACACGAGGGGTGGGAAGTGGCCTAGATGCTGGCTGCTCATGGTTTCCACAACTGCCCAGGAGGCAGAAGGGATCCTGCGGAGTTACGGGAAGAGGGGGACACTGAGATGGGAGACAACATGGAATGAATTCTGATGGATGTCATGAAGTCAATAATTGGACATCAAAACACAGCTTGGCCCCACTACACACGGTCTTACCCCTGACGGTCAGTGTGGCCGAGGTCCTCTCCTGCCCACACACGCATGAGTACTCCCCGGCGTCCACCACGGCTAGGCCACGGATCTCCAGCTCACACAAGACCCCGTCCTGCCTCAGGCTGACTCTGTCACCGGTTCTGAGGGTCTCAGAGCCCTTCCTCCACTCCACAGGGGCCGCCTTGCTCAGCTCACAGCGCAGTGTAGCCGTGGCCTCCTCTGTGGCCTCCTCATTCCTCAGACCCTTGGTGAACTTGGCAGGCAGGGCTGCAATGGCCATGAAGTCAGGGAAAACATCTCACTCTCTGGGGGACTCTGTGTCCAGGACAAGGACACCCACAACAACCACACAAACTGCCAAGGGCCACGGCATGAATGAGTGAACAGAGGCACAGATGGTGAGGGAGGCAAATGGAAGGAGAGGAACAGAGGACACAAAGGATGGGACACGAACATCGGGACACAGATTGTAGGGGGAGATGTGAGCTGGGAGAGACCCAGGGACCCCACGTGGAGAGACACAGACGCCCACAGAGCCTGACATGGGAAAAGGTAGACACATAGTGGAAACGTGCAGATGCCGAGCCACTGGTCCATGTGGGCACACGTGATCTTTACCCCTGACGGTCAGCGTGGCCGACGTCCTCTCCTTCCCGCACACACACGAGTACTCCCCAGCATCTGCCACAGCCAGGCCACGGATCTCCAGCTCACACACGGCCCCGTCCTGCCTCAGGCTGACTCTGTCCCCAGCTCTGAGGGTCTCAGAGCCCTTCCTCCACTCCACGGGGGCCGCCTTGCTCAGCTCACAGCGCAGTGTGGCTGTGGCCCCCTCTGTGGCCTCTTCCTTCCTCAGACCCTTGGTGAACTTGGCAGGCAGGGCTGGGGGCCAGAAAGACATGGGCTATCACACTTGCTGAGCACACCAATGAGACAGTGCATGGACAGTACAGAGATGACAGAAACCCGTGGGCACACAGGCCACGTGCTGGGTGTACTGAGCACACGCTGTGGGCTGTGGCTTCGCTCAGCCCAGCCTGTGGAGTGTGGCTGTGGCCCCTTTCATGGCCTCCTCAGGCCTCATGCTTTGTATGAAACTGATGGGAGGAGATGGGGAGGTTTGGAACAACACGGAGAACACGATATTCTCTGGAGATTGTTCAGACACAGGATATGACGGGACAGAGGAAAAGACACAGAACCCAACAGGACAACAGGACAGAACCAGCAGTGCCACAGGGGGTGGGAAGTGGCTTAGATTCCAGTTTCCTGTGGTTCACACAACAAGAAAGTGGAAGGAATTCCAGGGAGTTGTGGGGAGAAAGTGACACTGAGATGGGAGAGAACATGGAAGGAACGCAGACAGATGTCATGAACTCAATAACTGGATGCCGAAACACAGCTTGGCTTGGCCAAACACAGTATTTACCCCTGACGGTCAGCGTGGCCGAGGTCCTCTCCTGCCCGCACACACACGAGTACTCCCCGGCGTCTGTCAGGGCCAGGCCACGGATCTCCAGCTCACATACGGCCCCGTCTTGTCTCAGGCTGACTCTGTCCCCAGCTCTGAGGGTTTCAGAGCCCTTCCTCCACTCCACGGGGACCGCCTTGCTCAGCTCACAGCGCAGTGTGGCCGTGGCCCCCTCTGTGGCCTCTTCCTTCCTCAGACCCTTGGTGAACTTGGCAGGCAGGGCTGAGAGCAAGAACAACATGGTAACAATTATGTTCTGAACACGTGGAAGACACAGGACATGGACAGCACAGAGATGACAGAAACCCATGGGCACACAAGCCATGTGTTGGGGGTGCCAAGGACAGACTGTGGGGTGTGCGTTCCCTTGGCCAGTATGTGCACAGTATGGCGTAGTCCACTCCGTGGCCCCTCAGGCCTCATGCTGTGTATGAATCTGGCGGGCAGGATTGGGAGTGTCAGAAACACACAGAGAACATCAGATTCTCTGGAGAACTCTAGAGGCAGGACACGACAGGACAGAGGAAAGCACACAGACTCCAACAGGACCCCACCAGTGGGACATGAGGGGTGGGAAGTGGCCCCGATGCTGGCTTCTCATGGTTTGTACAACTGCCCAGGAGGCAGAAGGGACTGTGTGGAGTTACGGGAAGAGGGGGACACTAAGATGGGAGAGAACATGGAATGAATTCTGATGGATGTCATGAAGTGAATAATTGGACGCCAAAACACAGCTTGGCCCCACAACACACGGTCTTACCCCTGACGGTCAGCGTGGCCGAGGTCCTCTCCTGTCCGCACACACATGAGTACTCCCCGGCATCTGCCATGGCCAGGCCATGGATCTCCAGCTCACACATGGCCCCGTCCTGTCTCAGGGTGACTCTGTCCCCAGCTCTGAGGGTGTCAGAGCCCTTTCTCCACTCCACGGGGGCCGCCTTGCTCAGCTCACAGCGCAGTGTGGCCGTGGCCCCCTCTGTGGCCTCTTCCTTTCTCAGACCCTTGGTGAACTTGGCAGGCAGGGCTGGGGATGGTCAGAGGGACACAGAGAACATTAGACTCACTGGAGAATTTGGGGGTCTGGACATGGACACTGGACAATGAAACATTCACACTCTGGAGCAAACAAGGAATAAAAGCCTGGACACACGAGTGGGTAAGCAGAACCGTGGGGGTAAGGATAGACTGGGCCAGGTTCATCTGGGTGAAGTCCAGTGAGGAGGTGGAGATGCTGGGATCCTCATTGAGGACCTCAGGTCAGGGTCCTCATGGAAATGACCACAGTGGTCACAGGATGGACAGAGACAATGACAATCAGACTGCATCTGATGCTAGATTTGAGGGCCCAGGCCCCTTCCCCACCCTACACATGCCTGACTGTCCAGCTCACACCAGACCGTGGCTGTGGCCCTCTCTGCGGCTCCCTATTTCTTGGTGATTTTGTGATCATGACAAGTACAGCTGGGGAAGGAGACACCAAAAAGGCTGCTTAAACTCTCCCATGAGTTTGCACCAGTGCCCCCATCTCGTCAATTCCTGCTGCTCCTGAGGCCAGAGCCTGGGACTGACCAGGGCTGACCAGAGCAAAGAACATCCCAGCCAGGAGGGAAGCAGGAGCTGCCCTTCTCCTGGCCAGTCACACTTGAGCAGGTGCCCTCAGGAGCTGCACACTTCTGCAAGCAGCTCTCTTGGGCCAACTGTAGCTGGTCAACTTGGGTCCTCTGCTCCTGGGCCATTGGCAGCACTTCCCGGGGTGGAAGCTGCTCAGATCATGCGATGGGCCTCCAAGCCTACATCCTCCAGTCTCTTGGTGGGTCTGACCAGCTAGAGGGCCTGCTGCCTCCATACTGGGGATGCTGTGCTCCGTCCATGCAGTCGAGGCGGCATGGTGGCCTGGCCTCTCCCCAAAGGTCTGAACATTTGTGCACGTGATGGCCCTGCCCAGCCTCCAGAATCCTTTTCTTCTCTGACCGTCCTTGTTGTGTGAGTGGGACCCACCAGAGGTCAGGACATGAGGCCCCTGTGCACCTGAAGAGCTGTCCTTTCCTCTGCTTTCTCTGAGACACGCCCGCCTCCATGCCCCTTCACCAATGCTGCTGCTGAGACCCTCCAGGACGCGGCAGGCAGCCTCATCCCACCTCTGTCTCGTCTGCTTCCCCCATAGTAAGTGACTAGGCCCTCAGAAGGGCTACTGAGGACCAGGACCCCAGGCATGGGGAGCTGACCAGGCCACCAGCCACACCATAGCCAAGCCTTATCCTGACTCCCCGTGTCTGCGAGTCTCCAGCCCCTTCCACCGTAGCACAGGGCACCTTGCTCAGCTCACAGCACAGTGTGGATGTGGCCTCTCAAGTGGCCTGCTCAGGCCTCAGAACTTTTGTGAATTGGGTGGCTAGGGCTGGGGAAGGTCAGACGGACACACAGACCATCAGACTCTGAAGCTTGCAGACAAGAAATGGGCCACAGACATGATGCTGGCAACACAGGTACCTGCCTTGGGGGTGCGGCGGCACATGCCAGGAGAGTAACTCAGAGCGTGGTTCTCCAGGCAGGGATGCAAGGAGGGGTGATCGAGGGAGGGAAGCCAGGACACTCATGATGGGCCACGAGAGAGCCCCACATGGTGGCTACTCCACTACAAAGGAGGCTCCCACCTCCCCCTATTCACGGGACGCCATCGGCTGTCTGCCCCTCATAGGACGTGGCCTTGCAAGCCCCTAGCCTGTGGCCAGCCCTCCTGCTCCAGCTGACCATGCACCACCCCCACTGGCCTGTGCCCTCTCATCCCACATCCTAGCCCCAGCCCAACAGACTGTCTCCCATGGATGGTGCTGAGAGCCAATCGATGCAGCCACGGACAACAGGCATGAACCCCCGTCCCAGGCGGACATGCATATGCCCTTTCTGGCTCTGGGTCCCCTCCTCATGGCCTTCTCTGACCCTCCTTTCTCTGCTTCCACAGCCAAGCTCTATCCACACACAGACCCTCACCTCACACCTCACGTTCCACACACAGACCTCCACACCCACCTACCTCACTCCACACTCACCTCTCTTCCACACCCATCTCACCCCCACCTCACCTCCCCGTGCCCCTCACCTCCATCTCACCTCCAGCTCACCCCATCTCCATCTCCACACTCACCTCATTTCCACACCCCCCTCACCTCCACCTCACCTCCACACCCACCTCACCTCCACCTTCCCTCCCCCAGGTCCCTCACCTCCATCTCACCTCCACCTGACCTCATCTTCACCTCCATACTCACCTCACCTCCACACCCACCTCACCTCCACCTCACTTCCCCACACCCCTCACCTCCATCTCACCTCCACCTCGCCTCGTCTCCACCTCCACACCTGCCTCACTTCCACACCCACCTCACCTCTACCTCACCTCCACACCCAGTTCACCTCCACCTCAACTCACCTCCACCTCACCCTTCATCCCGAGACCTCACCTCCCATAGCACCTAGATGCTGGATGGTAGTCCCTGGGACTCCCCACATGGCTCTCTCATGGCCCATCATGGGCGCCTGGCTTCCTTCCCTCGATCACCCCTTGTTGCATCCCTGCCTCAAGAACCACACTGAGTTACTTCCCAGCTTCTCTCTTGGCACGTCACTCCCCCGACCACCAAGGCCTCAGGACGATCATAACCCCACTGTTGGTATTGTGTGGTTGCCCTCAACTTCCCCAGATGTGACCCCCCTGAGGGCAACAAGGGCCTTGTTCTCTACTGTTTATCTGAGACAGACCTCACACAAGCAGACCATGCTGCAGAAATGCAAGAAACAAAGAGAGAACCAGAAAGACCACACACAGACAAAGGCAGAGTGAGGGGATGCGACCAAGTCCTCAGACACGAAGCCGCTGCTCCACGTGGGCACACACAGTCTTTACCCCTGACGGTCAGTGTGGCTGAGGTCCTCTCCTGCCCGCACACACAGAAGTACTCCCCGGCATCTGCCACGGTCAGGCCACGGATCTCTAGCTCACACACAGCCCCGTCCTGCCTCAGGCTGATTCTGTCTCTGGTTCTGAGGGTCTCAGAGCCCTTCCTCCACTCCACGGGGGCTGCCTTGCTCAGCTCACAGCTCAGTGTGGCCGTGGTCCCTTCTGGGGCCTCCTTGCTTCTCAGTCTTCCTATGAACTCAGCGGGCAGAGCTGAAGAAAGTCAGACAGAGAACATGAGATTCTCTGGAGATGGCTGGGGGACAGGACAGGACGGGATGGAGGAAAAGACACAGACTCCAACAGGACAACAGAAGTGAACCAGTGGTGACACGAGGAGTGGAAAGTGGCTTAGATGCCAGGTCTCAGGGTTTGTACAATAGCCCAGAAAGGTGGAAGGGATTCTGTGGAGTTACAGGAACATGGTGACACAAAGACAGGGAGAGAACATGGAACGAATGTAGGGGGACATCATGGAGTCAACAACTGGACACCAAATATGGTTCTGCTTAGCCACACAAGGTCTTTACCCCTGACGGTCAGCGTGGCCGAGGTCCTCTCCTGCCCACATACACATGAGTACTCCCCGGCGTCCGCCACGGCCAGGGCACGGATCTCCAGCTCACACACAGCCCCGTCCTGCCTCAGGCTGACTCTGTCCCCGGCTCTGAGGGTCTCAGAGCCCTTCCTCCACTCCACGGGGGCCGCCTTGCTCAGCTCACAGCGCAGTGTGGCTGTGGCCCCTTCCACAGCCTCCTTGCTTCTCAGTCTTCCTATGAACTCAGCAGGCAGAGCTGCAGCGAGGTCCGATGGATAAACAACGTCATCTCCACCCTCCCGTACGGAATGAAGGGGCTGCGTGGGCAGGATGTGGGGGGATGCTCACCCTTCACAGTGAGCACGGCCGTGGTTGTCTGGTCCCCGAAGCAGCAGGAGTACTGCCCGCTGTCCTGGGGCCTCAGGTCCCGGACCACCAGCTCCAGCATGGTGCCCTCCTGCCGCAGAGTGAACTTGCCTCCTGACCGCAGAACCTCATCTCCACGGCACCACTCCACGGGCGCAGCCACGGACGACAGTGTGCAACGCAGTGTCACAGCGCCGCCCTCCAGCACCTCCACGTCCTTCAGCCCCTCCCGAAACCGCACCGGCCGAGCTGCAGACAGGCACCGCTCAGCTCTGCCTTCACCCCCCTGCGTCCTACCTGGGGCACCCCCTACAGGTGAGGAGGGCCAGGGGTAGCAGGCGCAGGGGGCTACCTCACCTCTTCTACAATGGGAGCTAGTGATGGTGACCCTAAGACCTCTGCCCCTCCAGGAGAGGGAGCCAAACAGGAGGGAACAGAGGAGGGTGGAGAGTCATGGGCTGATTCTGCCCCCAGAAATCTATATGTTGGAGCCCCCAGGACCTCAGAATGGGGCTGTATGTGGAGATGGATGACGAAGAGATGATGAAGGTAAAACGAGGTCACTGGGGTGCGCCCCAATCCCACGTGACCAGTGTCCTTATAAGAAGAGGATACGAGGACATACACAGACACACATGAAGGGGTGACCATGTGAGGACACAGGGAGAAGACGGCCATCTACACGCCCACGAGAGAGGCCTCAGGAGGGAGCAGCCCTGCCCTCCCCTGGGCCTCTGACTTCCAGGCTCCAGACTGGGGGACGATGAATGTCTGTTGTTTAAGCCCCCAGGGTGTGGTGTTTGTTACACAGCCTGAGCTGACAGAGACAGACAGAGATGAGCCAAAGCTAGCAGGAGAGGGACACAGATGTCGGAACACAAGACAAAGACAGGAATGAAGTAAAAAAAGACTGCTGGTCAGGAGACCAAGAGAGGGCAAGGGGAATCCTATCAGAGCAGCAGATTCCCAGAAACGGGGAGGCAGCAAAGTGAGATGGACAAGCTGCTAGAGAGAGAGGGGGACCAGGAGCTGGTAACCCCCCCCCCCACAGAGAGAGAGGGAGGCAGATGGGGTCCCCGGGTCCCTCCCCTGAGCGAGCTGAGACATGGGCGCCGCCCGGGGGCTCACCATGGACCCTGACGATGGAGCTGCTCCAGGCACCCCCGGCCTCACACTTATAGCGCCCGCCATCCTGCAGGGTGGCGCCAGTGATGACCAGCTGGGCCTGGCGGCCCTCGTAGGTCAACCGGCAGCGGGCTGACGACCGCAGCACCTTTCCATCCTTGGTCCAGCACACAGGGCTGTCTGGAGTGACGGTCTCACAGACGAGGGTCAGATCCTCCCCCTCTGTGACCGAGGCATCCACGAGCTCCTGGGAGAAGGCACTTGGCTTCTCTGGGGACAGAGAGGGAAGCACAGGGAGCTTGGGGGCTCCTGCAGGAGAAACCGTGGGTTTTGCTGCAGACCAGCCGATACCCCACCTGCCCAGCTCAGGCTGGGGCTGCCGACGGGGCCACTGGGGGAACAGGACAGGCTCTATGTGGCTCCCCACACCAGAGGGGTGTGGCTCATCCCAGACCAAATTGACTGTGGGGTCACCTCTCCATGGCACATGCATGGTTCATCCTGAAAAAGCCCCACTTGTTCTCCCAAACCCACCTACCTGGGATGTGAGGGCCGAGCCCCCGGGCAGCCCATGGTGCCTTCTTTGTGAGCCCTAGGACCTCTCGGCTACGCCCTCAGCCATGTGTGCTGGCCCCCACCCATCCGGGATCTGAGGGCTGAGCCCACCCACAGCTCACGGCGCCTTCTCCATGAGCCCCAGGACCCCTTGGCTGTGCCCTCAGCCACATGTGCTGGCCCCCACCAGCACTAGGCACACAGCCTACCTGTGATCCGCAGGGCAGCTGAGGCCCGCTGGTCACCCGCCTCGAAGTGGACGGTGCCCGAGTCCTTGAGCGTGAGCTGCCGCAGGGTCAGCACGTGGTAGCCTCCTGGCTGGGCCTCGATGTCGTTGAGCTCATTGGCCTGGAGAGGGGTCTTGTCCAGGAACCAGTGGACAGGCCCATAGTCAGCAGGGGAGATCCGGCAGCAGAAGGTGGCTGAGGAGCCCTCCCGCACCTCCACGTCCTCCAGGTCCTCCGTGATGAGCACCCGCTGGCCTGCAGGGGCACAGACAGGCACACCATGGTCGCCCATGCGGAGGGAAACATGGCATCCCCTAAACCCAGGTGGGCTCACAGCCAAGAGGGAGCAGCTGACTTCAACAGCCTCAGAATGATGAAACTCAGAAAACAGTGACTGGGTCAGAGCTGAACCATCCACTGTACTTGCTTTAGGTCCACCGATGAGCCCCAAATCCACCTCTAGGATCCTTCTGCAGAGCACGCAGGGGGGGGGTCCACCGAAAGCCCCTCCCCCAGCTGTGCACGTTCCCAGCCTATGCCGATCGTGCCTGTCCCCGAAGTCAAGTAAGGCAACTAAGTCTTGAATTAACAGAAGAAGTAGGAATGTGAAAAAGACGTCAGACGTGTAAAACTTCAAGTCAAATGCTTTGGAGAATAGACGACGTGAATTGGTAGAAAGAAACTTTCTTGCTGCTGACACAGGTTTGGCGAAAGCTCACAGAGAAGTCATAAACACGGGGGTGGATTCTGCATCAGGCTGCTCCAGGGCCCAGCAGAGCCCTGACCTCTGACCCCCCAGACTCTACTTTAACAGATGCTCACACCCCAGCGCGCCACAGCCAGGAAACCCGTGTGCAAACCAGCAGGATGCGGGCCTCACCTTGCACCTGGAGCCGGGCCTGGGACCGGGCCTGGCCAATGTCACAGGTGTAGGTGTCACTGTCTGCCTTCTCCAGGGCGCTGATGGTGAGCCTCAAGGTCAGGCCCTCCTGGCTGGGCGTGTGCTTCCCCGAGGGGCGAAGCTCTGTGAGGCCTTTGCGCCAGGTCACCGCAGCCGCGGGCCGCTCCGTCCTACACATGAACACAGCCGTGCCCTTCTCCTCCAGCTGCAGGTCAGCCAGCTCCTCTGTGAACCGGTTCGCTGCTTCTGGAGAGGGGGCAAGAGGGGCTGGGCATGAGGCCTGCCCAGACCCCATGCTAGACCCGGGGGTACAGGGCATCGCTCCACCACAGGCAGTTCTCCTCCCAGTCTGTCTGTGGAACCTCAAGGTCTGGGCGAGCCCCTTCTCTGATGGGCTCCCCTCTATTCCCACCTGGGACAGAACAGCTAAGCTCCAAGAGACCCCAGAGGACACCAGGGCCACTCCAGGGTCTCTCGTGGGGTTACCTTCCACGCGGAGGCTGGCTGTGCTCTTGGAAGCTTCAGTCTCGCACATGTACTCGCCCGAGTCCTTGAGCGAGGCCGCATGCACAACCAGCATGGCCCTTGTGCCTTCAACGAGCAGCTCATACTTCTGACTCTTGCGAATGGCCTTCCCGTCCTTCAGCCAGCGCACCGGGGTGCCAGCCTGCGACAGCTCGCAGCTCAGCACCACATCCTCACCTGGTGCAGCCCGCTGGTCTTCCAAGGGCTTCACGATGTCTGCCGGCCTCTCTGAGGGGAGCAGAGCCAGTAGCTCATGAGGCACGGCCACGGCCCCAGCCATGGCCACACTCCCAGCCATGCCTGGGGCGAAAGCAGGGCCAGCATTCAGGGACCTTCAGACTCCCAAGGCCGAGACCACAGAACCTACAGGCCTGAAACTCTGGGACCTCGGACTTGGGAGTCTCAGAGCCCTGGAGTTTGGGAGTCCCCATAGTCACAACAAGAGAGGGGTGTGGGAGGTAGCTATTAGAGCACAGAGTCTTATGTTCTCAGCATTGTTAGGAGCCCTGCAACTCAAATCGTGGCCATGGGCAGAGGCAGGCTGTGAACTGAACGTCATGCGTCTGTACTGGTATTTATGCTGGCAGCACGCTCAGAAATGACCACGGTGACTCCACAGACAGTGAGCCACGTGCCCTGGGGCTAGTGCGGCAGTCAGACCCCAGGTCAGAGACCAGAAACCCTGCTCCCGTCCAAAGACTCAGAACCTCAGCCGAGACAGTGAGCCCCCGGATGACCAGAAGCCCCCAGTGCCCAAATAGGTGTCTCGGGGCCCCATCAGAGGCTGGAGAAGACAGTCCCCAGGAACACTCCCTGGCGGCTGCCCGAGGTCCCCGCCCAGCAGACCCCACCAAGGAGATACCCTGTCCCGCCCCAGCCAGGGGTGCCCACCTCTGACGATGAGTGAGGCCTTGGAGGTGAGGCACTGCACAGAGAAGACCACCTCCCCGGTGTCACTCAGCACGGCATCTCGCACAGCCAGGGTGTACTTGCGGCCCTGGCGTGTGGCCTGGAAGCGGCCGGAGCTGCCCACGGTCTTCCCACCGACGGTCCACACAGCCGTATCACTGGTATTCTCGTGGGACAGGACACACTCGAAGCTGCAGCTCTCACCCTCCTGCACTTCCACCGTCTTCAGCCTCTTGGTGATGCCCACGTGCAGGTCTGCAGACCATGGGAGACGGTCGTCATGCCGGCCAGGCCCACAGATGCCCACCGTCAAGAACACACCATCGAGCCCACAGTGGCCCAGGCCAGACCCCGGGAGAGGCGAGACCAGCCCTCCCCAGCCCCACCCGTGGCCAGCCTGCTGCCCCTCAGGCAAACGCCCCCCTGCCTCCTGCGGGCTGCACACTGGTGGTGGATGGACAACAGCTGTGAGTCCCCCCCACGGTGGCTGCCTTCCTATCTCTACAGAACAATGCGCAGAGAACAAGCACGGCCCACGGTGGTTGCCAGCCCCAAGGCTCCCACCAGAAGGAGAGTGCCCTGAAGGAAGGAGCATCGGCCCTGGGACAAACTCACCACACCACCCTCCCTTTCCGTCTCATCTCAAATCCGGCCACACTGTCTGAGACCCGACATGGCAGTCTCAGAGGAGCAGGCCCCCCTGCATGTGGGGAGAACAGGACTATCAGAGCTGGGCCAGGACAGCGGTGGACAACGGAGGCCAGGCATCTGCCCCGTGGTCGGAGGCCAAGCTGGGACGATGTCTGAAAGGAACGTGGCCCGCCTACAGTTGCCTTCACCAGGCTGTGCCCGTGCCTGGGAGCCCTTCCCAGGCATCTCCTGCCTGACGCCTCCAGGAGGCTCCCCTGACATCCGTGCGCTAGCCCACATGTTCCGTGGTGTAGGGTGAACATCTCCGGCTCTGCCTAATCTCTCCCAGCGCGGGGCTCTACCAGGCAAAGCCAGTCCAGTTTCCCACCCTTGGCTCTGCTGCCCATCATCCTTGACCCAACCTGTACCTGGGCCTCCTATGACCATGTCAAGCCGGCTCAGGAGAACAGGCCTGGGCCTCGGAGAGTGGGTGGGGCCCTGGCAGAGGCGGACCCCGCCCCAGTGCCACGCCCCCGAGCCCGGGCCCCGCCCTCTGGGGCCGGCCAGCCGCAGCCACGCACCGTGCACGCTGACGCGCGCGCGGGTCTCGTCGGTGCCCACGTTGCAAGTGTACAGGCCCGCGTCGTCCCGGCTCAGATCGTGCACTACGAGCCCGCGTGTGCCCGCCGTGTGCAGGAAGTCGTATTTGTCGCTGGGGCCCAGCTCCACGCCATCCTTGAGCCACACCACGCGGGCCTGGGGGTCGGCGACCTCGCACTGCAGGGTCAGCGTGCCTCGCTCCTCCGCAGACACATCGTCCAGCGCTTTCAGGAACACCACCGGCTTCGCTGCGGGGAGAGTGTGGGCAGGTAAGGGAGCGAGCCGCCACGTGAGACCCAAAGGGAGCCGGGCACGCGTCCCAGGGAGACCACGTGGACCCCGCAGGGACGCCTCACCTTTGACCTCTAGGCGGGCAGTGGCCGTCACCTTGGGGGAAGAGGCGCGCACGATGCCCGCGTCCCCCCGCCGGACCCGCTTCAGCACCAGCGTGTGGCGGTGGCCTTCGTGAGTGATCTCGTGGAAGCTGTCGTTGTATAGGGGCGTCCCATTGAGCGACCACTCCAGCTCCTCGTCCTCGTGGGACAGCTCGCAGGAGAAGCAGGCGCGGTCCTCCTCCGTGACCTCCGCGTCCTGCAGCGGCTGCGTCACTGTCACCTCGCGCGCTGCCGGGAGCACACCGGCCGGCTCAGCGCTCACGCCACGGGCGCCTGCCCCGAGACCCTCCCGTGGCCCCGTGCCCTCGCTCCGTACCCTCCACGGTGACCTCGGCGCTGCTCTGGGCGCTGCCGGCCTGGCACCGGTACACGCCGGCGTCGGCGGGCGTGAGCCGCAGGACACGCAGCTCCGCCATGTGCCCCTCCAGCCTCATCTTGAACTTGTGGGACGGCGCCAGGGGCGTGTCCCCTCTGTACCACTGCACGGCCTTGGGGGGCGGCTTGAAGTCGCAGGAGAGGACCACTGACTGCAGCTCGCGTCCCGCTTTGGGCTCCAGCGGCCGCGTGAGCACCACAGGGATGTCTGGGGGGTGGGGGGAGGGCAGAGCTGCGGCGAGCGGACCGGACCGCGGGGCCTGAACCCCAAAACCACTGCCCCCGCCCCGCGCCTGCCCATCTGCAGCCCCTACCCCTCTGCGCGCGCTCACCTGATACCACAAGGCGCGCGGTGGAGCGCGACTTGCCGATGGTGAAGTGCACCGGCCCGGTCATCGTGGAGCAGGTGCGCCGCAGGGTCAGCCGGTGCACAGTGCCCTCCTGCTCCACGCCCACGTCCGCGCCTGCCTGCAGCACCGTCTTCCCCAGGAGCCACTTGGGCGGCCGCACCGAGGGGATGGAAATCTCACACTCGAACCAGGCAGGGGCGGGCTCCATCACCGTCATGTCCTGCAGGTCCCGCACGATGGTGATGGATTGCTCTGTGGGCGAGGTCTCAGTCACCGGGCGCGGTGACCGCGGGAAGGCCGCCAGCCGCCCCTGCAGGCTCCGAGGTCCCTCCTGGGAACAAACCCTCTCCCCCACACGCATGCTCACATCCTCCCCGGCTGCCCCCACGTGCCCAGTCAGGCCCTTCTCAGACTGGCCACCTCCAAGTGCCAGGGCAAATGGTAGGGGCAGTAGCTCCTGCCCCGGCACACGGGGACACTGCTGGCGGCCCTGCCCGCACCTTCCACAAAGAACTGTGCGCTGGTCTTCACGTCGCCAGCCTCGCAGGTGTAGGTGTCCTCGTCCTCAGGCTGCACGTCGTTGATGACGAGCTTGCGGTAGAGCCCATCGCTGACCATCTCGTACTTGGGCCCAGGACACAATTCTGCGCTGCCCTTGAACCACTGCACCTGGGCGCTGGCCCGAGACACCTGGCACTCGAGCACGCCGCGGTGCTTCTCCATGGCGATCTTGTCCCGCAGCGGGCGCAGGATGGCCACTGGCAGCTCTGTGGGCGCGGGGGGGGGGGGGGGGGGGAAGGGGGAGGCGGGGGGGCGGGAGGAAGGGGGGTAAGGGCCAGCACTCACGGCTCCCGAGCCCCTGGGCTGGGTACTGTGCCTGTGCCACCTCCAACCAGCCAGGCTGGGCCACTGCACTCCGGGCCAACACCCACGCAGACCCGTCTGCCGGGGCCAGTAGGTAGCTAGGCAGAGGGTCGCCCTCAGGGCCGAGACCCTCAGTGTACAATTAACCACCAGGAAGGTGGGCGCACCTGCACACCCGCCCTTTCCCAATGCGCCAGCCCCGCATGCCCGCCCCGCCCTCACCCCGCATCCTCCCCGTATCCCGCCCTTGCCCATCCACAGGCCCTCCCTTCCTCGTGATCCATCACCACTCTGTCATCAAGGCCCCCAGGGAAGGCCTCCCACTCCCTGCCTGCCAGGGTCTCACACCCTTCTCCGTGCTTGCTGCAGTCTCAGGATGAAGAACCCTTTGGTACTTCCATTTTAAACAAGGGAGGAGACCCCAAGCCCTCACAGCCCAAGGCCCCTCCCCCAGCCGCCATCTTACCGCCAAGAAGGCAACACCCACTTTCCTTGTCCTGGGTCACTGCTCTCCTGAGCCCGGGCCCAGAGCCCCAGGCCTGCCCCAGGACAGCAGGCCTGTCGGCCCTGCAGGGCCCAGCACACGTGCGTGTTCACACACACTGTCCGGCAGCCCCCTCCCCAAGCCGGTCTCACCTTTCACTCTGAGCTGAGCTCGCGATTCTGCATTTTCCGCCACAAATTTGATTTCCCCTGCGTCTTCGGCCAGTACCCTCCGGTAGACAAGAATGTATGTCCTTCCTGGGAACACAGGCCACTCAGCTCTGGGGGGGGTGGGCAGGGAAGGGAAGGTGGAGAGACCCTCCCACGGCCGCCCCTTATCCTAGTCGCACCTTCTTGGCGGATGCGCACATTGTCACTGGGACGAAGCTTACTGCCCTCCCGGAACCACTGGGCGGGCACCTCGTCGTGGGAGACCTCGCAGGAGAAGCTGGCGCCCTCCTTCTCCATCACCTCCACGTCCTCCAGGGGCCTCACAATCTGGACGTTGCGGCCTGGGGCAGCGAGCAGGCTCTGCCACACCTGGACGCACAAAGCTGCCCCCCTGCTCCCCCGCCCCAGCTGGCTGAGGGTACAGGAGTAGAGCACAGCCCCCCGGGGGATGCAGGAGGACCAGGGGGCTCTTGCACCTGCCCCGCACCTGCCGATCCACCACTCTGCCCGCCCTCACCTTGCACCTTCAAGGAGGCCGAGCTCTGGGCGTCGTGGGCATCACACACATACACGCCCTGGTCTCCAAGCTCACACCGGTAAATGATGAGGCTCCTACAGGCACCCTGGGCCATCACGCCCACCGTCTTGCCCACCCGTAGCTCCACGCCGTCCTGTGGAGGGACAGGCCACGTCAGGCTCCCAGCTTGGCCAGCAGAGCCATCCCACACCTACCGTCACACAGTGAGGAGCAGGAGTGGGCAGAGGAGTCCGGGGGACAGAGGCACCTTCAGCCAGCGCACGTCCACGTTGGGGCGAGACAGCTCACACTCCAGGGTCACCTTGTCCTTCTCTGTGGCCACCACGTCCTGGAGCGGGCGCGTGAATCTGACCGGCAGCTCTAGGGAGGCATGAGCGGGAGGTGAGAAGCATGGACTGGAGGTGCCCCACCGGGCTGGGCCGCAACCTGAGCTGAAGGAATCACTCAGCAGGCTCTAGGAATGAGCGCTCCCTCATGATTCCGAATCCCTGCCCCCACCTGCTTCCCTGGGCCAGCTTGGGGACAAGGGCAGTTGCGGTGTGGAGTGGGTCCCGCCTCGCCCACGCACCCATAACCGTGAGCCGCGCGGATGTATGCACGCCCTCTGCTTTGAAGGCGACGAGGCCGCTGTCCTGCGGCCGCAGCCCCGAGAGCGTGAGGGTGTGGGTAGGGCCGCGCACTGCCATTTGGCACGTGGGCCCCGGCTGCAGCCGCAGGCCGTCGCGCGTCCAGCTGCCTTCCACGTCGGTGTGCGACAGCTCCACGTCCATGGTGGCCGTGCCCTGCTCCCGTGCCTCCACCTCCTGCAGGCCCCGCACAAGCCGGACCTGGCGCACTGCGGGACAAGCGTGGGGGCAGGTGAGGCACTGCGCCTCAGACCCTGGTCCTCGGGCCAGCCCCGACTCCCCACCGCCCGAGGGGGCCTAAGAGCTCAGCAAGGTGCCTGAAGGGGGTGGGGCGGGCCTGCCACTCCAGGGGAGGCCCCCCTGTCCCCGCTTCCCGCTGCCCCGCCCTGTCCCCAGGGCCTGTCCTCAGGGTGGGGGTGGGGGAAATCTGCTCCCCTCCCACCTTAGCCCCCTCCTCCTAGAAGCCCGACCTCAGGCGAAGCTCACCCTACCACTCACTTTCCACCGTGAGCTTGGCTTGCGTCTTGTCATCCGGTGTCTCACAGCCATAGAAGCCGCGGTCAGCGAAGCCCACACTATGGATGACCAAGCGGTGACTCTCGCCCTGGGCGTGGATCGCCAGGTTCTCGCCCGGCGCCAGGACCGCGGCATTGCGTGTCCACTTGACGTCAGGCCACGGCCGCGTCAGCTCCACCCCCATGGTCACCGAGCTCCGCTCCTCCACCGTCTGCGGCTCCAGCTTCTTCCTGAACAGCACTGGAGCCTCTGGGGACAGAAAAGGGAGGTCACCGCAGCCGCTGTCACTCTCGGAAAAGCCAGCTGCAGAGGGCCCCCACCAGGACCTCACATTCGGACTTCAAGCTGGGCAAGGCCCTGGCGGTACTCAGGGCCCGGCCGCACACTTGCACAGGTACGATTTTACGGGAGGAAATCAAAGCTGACGGGGGCTTCTCCTTCCCCAGCCCCCTCCCACCTGCTGCTGCCCTGCTCTGAACAACCCTGCCATGTCCCACCTAGTGCCTGGATCTCCTAAGGGTGGCCAGTGACCAGCAGCATCAGGATGTGGGAGCTGGTGAGCCAGGCAGCCTGTGAGCCCACAGGCCGCTGCTTCAGGCTCTGCTTTAAGTAGAGCCTGGGCAGGTGCACGTTACGGAAGAGAAACAGGCTCAAGGGGGCTTCCAGTCTCAGGCTGTGCTGTGATCTTCCCAGAAGGTGCATCAGCCCATGTATTCCCTTACTCAAAAACCTGCGATGGCTGCCACTTACCCCCAGGTGAGTCCTGGCTCTCCCCAACACAATCTGGCTACAGCCGGCAAAGCATGTTTCCACCTCCTGCCTCTGCTTGCCCTGTCTGCCAACTCCACTCCCTCCCACCTTGCTGTCCATGGGCTCAGCGTGGGACGCCTCCTCCAAGAAGCCTCTGCCCACTCCCAGCCCAGGTGAGCAGTACAGGAGTTTACTTTCTCTCCTCAGAGCAAGTGCCTGGTCCCTCGGTCTCACCCAAATCTCCTCTGTGCAGCCGACAAACCCCGGGTCCCCTGAGGTCAGCGGGACTAGCTGGCCACAGGCCAGTAGCCGCATGCGCCCGCGGAACCAGCCCAGGGGGAGGCGCCCTCCCTGCGCCCCAGGCGTGCACCTCGGACTCGGAGGGCAGCGGCGGACGTGACGCCCTCAGCCTCGGCGGTGATCTGGCCGGCATCCTGCAGGACCAGGCCCGAGATGGTCAGGCTGTGGCTGCCGCCGCTCTGTGATATGACAACCTTCTCACTAGGCTGCAGTTGCGTGCCGTCCCGGAACCACGTGACCGCCGCGTCCGCGGGGGTCACCACGCACTGGAAGGTGGCCTCGCGGCCCTCCTCCGCAACCACGGCGCTCAACCCGGACGTGAACTTGACCTCGCGGGGCACTGTGGACAGAAGCTCCGCTTGAGACGTGAGCAGGAGGAGCGGAGGTCCCACCCTGCAGACGCCGCAGAAGGACGCCTCCTCCAGGAAGCCGCTCGGAACGTCCGGCCCCGCGCCCCAGCCCGCCCGCCCGGCGGCCGCGTACCGCTGACGGTGAGCCGCGCGCTGGTGCGGTCGTCGCGGCTCTCGCACACGTACTCTCCAGCGTCCTCCGCCCGCAGGCCCGACACCGTGAGCGAGCGCCGGGACCCCGCGGCCGCCATCTGGAAGCGCTTGCCGGCCCGGAGCTCCGTGCTCCCGCACCGCCACACCACCTCGGCCTGCGCCGGGCTCAGCTCGCAGGCCAGCGTCACCGTGCCGCCCAGATCCCCGCGCACGGGCTCCAGGGGCCGGCAGAACTTGGTGGCCACCTCTGCGGGAGGGAAGGGACGTCAGCCGGGCGAGGCACAGGCTACTCTGCGCTGCCCGGTCGCGCGCCCTGAGTCCCAGCCTGGCTCCGCTCTGGGACGCCACAGACACGGGGTTCCCAGAGGACTGCCCCCTGCCCCGCTGACCTTCCACCTGCACTGGGAAGTCCTGCGCCTCCGCGCCCACGCGGCAGCTGTAGACGGCGCTGTCCATGGTCTGCGCACCGCGCACGGTCAGGGTGTGGGTGTCCCCCAGGCTGGCCATCTCGTGCCGCTTGCTGCGGCGAATCTCCACGCCATCCTTGAGCCACGTCACCGCGGCCACAGAGGGTGTGGCCAGCGTGGCCGTCAGGACGATGTCCTCGTGTTCCCTGACCACCAGAGGCTCCCTGCGGCCGGGTCTCTCCAGGGCTGGTGGCTCAGGCTCCAGCTCTGGGGGCGGGGTGGGGAGGGTCAGTGAGCATGAGAGCAAGGACCCTGGCACCCACGACCTGGGCCCCGCACCCCACCCTCGGTGGGACAAGACCTGAGACAGAACCCTCCCAACCTCCCATCGCCTGCAACGGCCAGCTCTGTCCAGCCCTTGGCTGGAGCCTCTCCACTGAGCCAGCCCGAGAGCAAACAAAGCAGAGCCACACGCCGCCTGATGGCACCATCCAGGCTTCCGGGGATGGTGCAGGACAGCCAGGCGGAGCCCAGGGACTACAGCCTGAGGGCCACAAGCTCTGTCTCAGCCAAGAGCCAAGAGCCCGAGACCACTGTCCTCCCGGGAAGCACGGGCCCCTGGGAAAACACTGCAGGGAGAGTGGCAGGCAGCCTGGAGTGTGGGCCAGCATTCCAGAAGGGCCTCGGGGAAAAGGGCCAGGAGGGGAGGCACGCAAGGGCAGCCTGGGTGGTGGGACATCAGGGCAAACTGGTAGGTGCAAAACTTCAGTGCCTCCAGCAGCCAAGCTGGACAGAGCCTGAGGCCCAGAGGGGAGAGCAAGGCCCTGGGAGTGGGCCCTGGAGGGACCCTGTGAGGTCTGACCCAGGAGAACAACTAGAAAAGTCATATTGGCTACAGAGTTGGGGACAGGTGGGTGAGGGCCACAGCTGGGGACAGGGGCAGTGTCGGTCAACTCAGGATGGTGAAGCCTGACGATGTCATCGGCTGCTGGGGTGGGGGTGGGGGGTTGGAGAGGGACAGGTGCAGACAGTACATGGACATGGCGCAGGCCCAGGCCATGATGGGCATCTGGCCCACAGGGCTGGCCTAAGGACAGCTGGACAGTCAGGGCCCCAAGGCCAGAGACAGGGACCTCATCCTCACTGAAGGTAATGGCACCCAAGTCCAGCAGCCCCTTAGGTGAGGTTCCCCAGAGCAGGGCTGGGCTCTCCAGCTGCCCAGAGGGAATCAAAATGGGAAAAGTGTCTGCTCCAGTCCCCATTTCCACAGACCTCAGGCCTGAGCAGCCCGCAGATGGCTAAGCAAGGTGCAGCGGTAGGTTTCATGCTGGGGAAAGTGGGGATGGCGTGAAAGGTCCAGGAACTTTGCCAGCAGATGCCCAGCTCCACGAAATGACCTTGGAGTGGACAGGGTGCTGGGCACATCGGTAGAGAACAGAGAACAGGACAACTGCTCACACGAGGCAGGGACAAGCCTCACAGAGGGGTGCCCATCTGGGGGATTTGTCAGGTGCTGATCTGCCACAACCAGCTAGAGCCTGGTGCCCACCTGTGACATCCAGGCGGAAGGAGACCTTCTGGCCCCCGGCCTCACAGCTGTACTCCCCAGCGTCCGCCTTCCCCGCCTCCTGCACCACCAGCCGCCGGGTGCAGCCCTTGGCCTCCACGTGCACTTTCTTGCTCGCACTCAGCTTCTTCCCGTCCTTGAACCACGTCACCTCTGTCTGGGCCTGGGCCACCTCGCAGCTCAGAGTGGCGCTGGCCCCCGCCTTAGCCTGCACTTGGCTATGCACCAGCTGCTCCTTGGCAAACACCACTGTGGGCTCTGGGGACAGAGAGGGGCATGGGGTGAGAGACAACATCTAAGGCATATGGTTAAACGTTCAAAGTACCGTTTATGAAAAGACTTTCCTTTCTTCACACCTTGCACAGGAGCCACAGTAGAAACAAAGGAGGGCAGGTCCATTCATGCAGGAGTCTGCCTCTGGGCCCCTGTTCCGGCCCCTTATCTGACAACTGATCCTGCATCGAGACCCTGCCGTCTTCGTGAATGGAGCTGTGGAACTCTGTAGATCTGCGACCCCAATGCCCACACTGGCTCTCTTCAAGGGCACACTGTCCGTCTGCACATGGCCTTTGCAGTCCACTAGTCAATTATCAACCCCACCCCACCCCATCCCGCCAAATAAGCACTTATTCGGATTGGATTGCTAGTGAACATCTTAGTTTCCCCCGTGGATGTCTATCCATTTATTTCACTCTTCTTTACCGTCCCTTGAAAATAGCTAACCATCCCCTCCCACACAGCATCTAAACATCTCTTATTAGACTTGGAATGAAAACCACGATACCTCTGATGTTATTGCAAATCTTTTAAACTTTCATTTTCCAATCATTTGTTGCTAGTATATAGATAGTATATACATATATATATTTCTCTATGTCGATTTTGAATGTGGTAATCTCTCTCAACACTCTCACTAGATCTAACAATTTCTCTTTTGGATAAATCACATCTGCTGTGAATTCTACTTCTGTTTTTTGAAACATTTATACTTTTTATGTTATTTTGTTTATTTTCCTCCCCTTTATTTGTGCTGTGCAGTGTGGGATGGAAGTGGTGACATGGCTTTCCTGTCCTGTTCCCCAGCTCAAGGCAAATCCTTCACCATTTCACTTTCTGAAGTGAGCACGACTTTTCTGCAATCCATTTATCAAACTCAGGAAGAATTCTTTTACTTATACTTTGTTAGCATTTTAAGGCATGAATTGATGCTAGATTTTATCCAACATTTCTCCTGAAATTATGATGTAAAATTACATCAAAGACTTGATTCTGCATGTATTGAGGTAATCACCTTGATTTTCTTCAATCTGTTAATGTCGAGCTTTACGTTGATTTGCTAATGTTCCTAATGTTGAACCAGCCTTGATTCCTGGTACATTCTGAATTTTATCAGGCTGTAGGATTCTTTTCATATACTGCTGAATTCAGTTTGCTAATTGTTTTTTTTTTACCATATTGGCCTTGAAATCCATAATGGATTTGCTTATAATATGAATTCTTCCTACTGGCCTGTCATATTTTAGTATCAAAATTATGCTACCACATAAAATGAGTTAAAAAGTTGATATCCTTTTTCTATTCCATATAAGATTCACCATGGACAAGGTATAATTAATTTCTAAGTTATTGGAAGACTTTACCAGTAATGCACTGGGCTTGGAATTTGTTCTATGAGAAGATTTTTTTCCCACTGGTTCTATTTCTCCAATAGGACTATTTGACTTGTCTGTTTCTTCTTATGTCGGTTTTTATTTAGTTTTCTAGAAATAGGACAATGTCTCAAACTTTTCCTATTTTCTTGCACAGAATACTGTCAGATTCTCCTCAATAGCATGTCAAACATACACAGCAGGATTCTTGGTATCCATGCACACCTACAACATTACACACTGACACAACAATAAATAGCTATAGGTGGCACCCAGGAGCTCATGTGAGACCTCAGCCGACCCTCACGTGAGTTAAACCCTCCTAAGAAAGGAGAAAACAGCAAGTTCACAGACTTCTCTGTGAACCAGCCAGGAGGGCACAAACCCACCCTCACCATTAGGAAACACTATGAAATCAACACGGCTCTACCAGGCGGGGGCTGCCACCTCAGGAAGTCCTCAGAAACAGAGTGCCCATGTGCCACAGCTGCTTATTTCTCCCCACTTCTAAGTTTACACATCCAACCTCAAGAGGAACTCTGACTTGGGATTTTCTAACTGAAGACAAAGGAAAACAAGATTTGCTCTGAAACGGAACTCCAGCCTCACACGTGTGCATCACGGATGCCCAGCTCCCGATTCTCTGCTCTCCACTGGTTTTGCACAGACACTGCAGTGAAACATGTGTCTGTGTTCTGGCCCATATGGTGCAGAAAGAGCTTCTCCAGCCATGTGCAAGGAGGGAGAGTGTTCCAGAACCCCCAGAACTTTGGGAACCCAAGTTCAGTGTTGAGATAAATCCCAGTATGACTGGTGGCTGAAATTTGCTATTATCCTGGCTGAATGAAATGCAGACATATCTTGATAGCAAGATCCCTCATCTGGGGCAGGTGAAGGCAAATGGGAACCAGGAGAACGTCCTCAGGTGAGGGACATCTGCTCTACCTCAGCCCAATGCACCAGACGCAGCCAGAGTCCTGGACACCAAGGACCAACGGTGGGTCCTGAGGAGGTTCTGGGAACAGTGAGAGATGTGGAATTGCAACGTGGAAACACCATTAAGATGGAGAAGAAGGGCCTCTCCCTGCTGTACACACCCCTGCAGTCCAAGATCCCTGGGCTCAGCCATGAGTAAGAAAATGGGAGGGGGACTGGGATACGTGAAGAGATGAGGTTTAATGGACAGAGGACCACAGTGGTCCGGGCTGTAAGCCAGTCCTTCATCACCTCCACACAAGGCGAGTTCCCCCCCCTTCCTCAAGAACTGACCTGTGACGCCCAGGCGGAAGGAGACCTTCTGGCCCCCGGCCTCACAGCTGTACTCCCCGGCGTCCGCCTTCCCCGCCTCCTGCACCACCAGCCGCCGGGTGCAGCCCTTGGCCTCCACGTGCACTTTCTTGCTCGCACTCAGCTTCTTCCCGTCCTTGAACCACGTCACCTCCGTCTGGGCCTGGGCCACCTCGCAGCTCAGAGTGGCGCTGGCCCCCGCCTCGGCCTGCACCTCCCTGTGGGCCGGCTCCTCCTTGGCAAACACCACCGTGGGCTCTGGGGACAGAGAGGGACACGGGGTCAGAGACACCACCTAAGTTAGGAAGGCAGCACTGGGGAAAGAAGGCCTGGATGGGGGAGGCAGAGGGCTGGAAACTTCTCCAGGCTCTGCACCAGCTGAGTGGCCTGGAGAAGCCCCATTGCCCTCTCAGCAACAAGAGACACAATTTATCTGTGCATCCTAGCATGGTTCCATGAGGCTGTTCCAGGTGGGGAGGCTGTGAAAGACCCCCGTGCACATGGGATCTGGGGTCGTGAGGCTGGAACAGCCCAACCTCCTAGGGGACGCAGGGTCTTCTCCATGCAGCTGTGCAGCGAGCATTCTCAGTGCAGTGCAGGCGAGGTGCTGCGGCTCCACGCTCTTGCCTCCCTCAATGTCTCAGCTGATGGCAGCCCAGTGGGAGTGAAGCCGGGTCTCCCAGGGCTGCCCCTGCGGGTCCTGATGACACACAAAGGGGAGTATCTTCTTCAATCCTTTGGCCATTACCATTTGCTCTTCTGTGGTGTGTGTTCAGTCTTTTGCCCAACCTTTAATAGCACTGTCTGTCTCCTGTTTCGCTGTTAGGACCTCTGTTTATATGCAGACTTGATATTCCACATGTGGGTGACCCTCCTTTCAGTCTTTTATGCTGTCCTCTCATGAATCAGTGTTCAGTCACAATGTGCCAGCTATGTCGTCCTTGCTCCACAGTGGTCAGTGGGTTTTGTCCACTTCTGCATTGTCATTGAACAGTTTTATGGCCTGACCCCTTACCCTGTGGTCTCTAACCCACCTGGAGTTGGCTTTGTGTGTGGTTTGAGTTATCGGTCAACTTTTTTTTCCATTTGATGAAACGGCCAAAAGACTTTTATGAAAAAACCATCCTTGAGCCAGCCCTGATGGCCTAGTGGTAAAATTCAGTGCACTCCACTTCAGTGGCCCAGGTTTGGTTCCCAGGTGCTGAACCACACCACTCGTCTGTCCATAGCCATGCTGTGGTGGTGGCTCATGTAGAAGAATGAGGACATACAACTATGTACTGGGGCTTTGGGGAGGGAAAAAGAAAAAAGAGGAAGGTTGGCAACAGATGTTAGCTCAGGGTGAGTCTTTCCCAGAAAAACAAAAATTGTTTTTCCATTCCTTGCCCAAGCACGACATTAAAAAATAAAATCGGGGATGACGCAGGAGCCCATTGACGGTGGGGTCTGTCTCTGAGCCCTACTCTGCTCCTCTGATCGGATCACTGTCCCTTTACGGAGACCCAGTGTCTTCATGACTGCAGCTTCATGGTAATTCTTGCTTTCGGTGGAGCAAATGCTCACGCTGGATCTGCTGGTCAGTTCTCAGCACCTCCACCTCCCAAAGAGCATGTGTTTGCATTTGGATCATTATTGAACATCCTAGATTCTTCCACGGGTTTCTATCCATTAATTCTGAGCTTCTTTATCATCTCTCAAAAATATTCAATAATTTTCCCCCACAGAGTCACTAAGCACCTTTTACTAGATTTGGAATTAGAAACATGATTCTTCTGGTGCTATTGTAAATCTTTCAAACTTTCATTTTCCAACTGTTTGTTGCTATTATATAAATAAAAAAGTGTTTCTGTATGTTGATATTTGTATGCAGTTGTCCTTCTGAACACCCCTACTAAGTCTAACACTTTCTCTTTGGAATTTTGGAATTGATAATCTGTGAGTTCCACTTTGTTTTTCCCACCCTCACACGTTCTATTTCATTTTCCTCCGTTCCACGCTGTCCAATGTTGAACAGAAGTGCTGGCGGTCCTCTTGTTTCCTACCTCGCGGGGAAACTTCCAAGGTTTCCCTTTAAATGTGATGTTAGCTGGTGTATTATGCGGCACCATTGATCAAGGTGGGAAGAGTCTGTTCATTGACTGTGGGTTAAGAATTTTATGGCATGAATTGACACTAAATTTCATCAAGCATTTACTCTGTATTTATGATGTTAAACTTTATCAAACTTTTATTTCCTACACTTATTGAGACAATCACATTGTTTTTCACTTTCAATCAGTTAATATCATGCATTATATTGATTTTCTATTGTTTCAAATATTAAACCAACATTACATTCCTGGACTATGACTTTTATCATCAAGTATTCTCATCTTGACACACTGCTCAGATAACTTTGTCAATATTTTGTTAAAGATATTGCCTTGATATCCATAAGAGATTGGCCTGTAATTTTAATTCTATCTACTCTCCTTGTCAGATTTTGGTACTGATGTTATGCTATCTACATGAATCAAATCAGACAGTGCATCTCTTTGTTTTATTTTTTAGAAGAACCTCCATGAACATGGAATAGTTACTTTCCAGAATATTTTGTATAAGTTATCAGTAGAGCCACTGAGCTTAACTTGTTCTCTATGAAAAGATGTTTTTTATTACTGGTTCCATTTTTTTTAAAAGTTATAGGACTGTTTGAGTTTTCTATTTCTTCTTGTGTCACTTTTTCTCATAGTTCTCTATGATTTGGTCAAGTTGTCAAAACTTTTCAAAATTATGACCATAAAATAACTTGTCATATTCTCTTAAAAGACAGTTAAGAAAGATACATAGTCTTCTGGTATCTGTTCACACCAACAGATCATTATATACTGCCAAACTGTTACCTGTTGACACCCAGAAGTCAGCGTGGTACTGCAGCTCACCCCTCTCTGATGCTATGACCCACTCAGTGAAAGGGAAGTAAATTTAGTCCTCAGACCCCTGCATGAACCAGCCAGGGAGGCACAGACACACACTCATCACTGGGAAACGCCATGGAGTTAATACCATTTTACCGGCCAGTGGCTGCCACCACAGGGCTCTTCTCTAATAAAGCGTGCTGGTGTAGTTTAAGCTGCTTATTCCTTTTTAGTGCTGAAATCATAAGTCAAACTACAATGGGAATTCTGACACAGAATGGTCTTCGTGAAGACAAAAGGGAAACAAGATTTGCTTTAACAGGAGAATCCAGACCTCACATGTGCATGTCTCAGATGCACATCCAGCAACGCTCCGGTCTTCATCTACTTTGCTCAGACGTTGCAAGAAAACATGGATCCAGATTTCGCTACATATAGGTGCACAAATAACGTCTCTACCCATGTGCAAAGAGGACAGAGTATCCTAAAACACTGATAATCCACAGTTTAGTTGAGATAATTCCAAGTATGATTATGTGACTGAAATTTCCCCTTATCTTGCTTCAAAGAAACTGAAATGTCCCATTAAGGAGAACCCCTACATGGTGCTAAGAGGGCTGCTGGGAGCTACCAACACACCCAAAACAAGCAGTCGTTTTGGGGCCGAGATGCTTAGTCTACTTCAGAAGCCAAGCACCCAAGAGAGCCACAGTCCTGGACATCAAGGAACACCACGAAGTTCCCAGAAGGCATGACTAAGCATGGTTACCCAGAAACACCACTCGAGGTGCACAGGAATAGCTCTCCTCTCCCTTCCACACACGACCTTCCCATCCAGCCTCCCTTGGCCCAGTCATGGGTATGAAAATAGGAGGTGGGAGAACGGGAGACTTGAAGACATGAAGTCTAATGGAAAGAGCACCAGAATCCAGAACCCACTCCAGTCATGACCCAAAACAAGACTGAGAATCACAAAGAACTGACCTGTGACGCCCAGGCAGAAGGAGACCTTCTGGCCCCCGGCCTCACAGCTGTACTCCCCGGCGTCCGCCTTCCCCGCCTGCTGCACCACCAGCCGCCGGGTGCAGCCCGTGGCCTCCACGTGCACTTTCTTGCTCGCACTCAGCTTCTTCCCGTCCTTGAACCACGTCACCTCTGTCTGGGCCTGGGCCACCTCACAGCTCAGTGTGGCGCTGGCCCCCGCCTCAGCCTGCACCTCCTTGTGGGCTGGCTGCTCCTTGGCAAACACTACTGTGGGCTCTGGGGACAGAGGGACATGGGGTCAGAGACACCACTTAAATCACGAAGGCAGCACTGGGGAAAAAAGGCCTGGATGGGGGAGGCAGAGGGCTGGAAACTTCTCCAGGCTCTGCACCAGCTGAGTGGCCTGGGGAAGCCCCACCACCCTCTCGGCAACAAGTGACACAATTTATCTGTGCATCCCAGCATGGCTCCGCCTGGCTGTTCCAGGTGGGGATGCTGTGAAGGACCTCTGTGCTCATGGGATCTAGGGTCATGAGGCAGGCACAGCCCAACCTCCTAGGGGACGCAGGGTCTTCTCCATGCAGCTGTGCAGCGAGCGTTCTCACTGCAGTGCAGGTGAGTTCCTGCAGCTCCACACTCTTGCCTCCCTCAGTGTCTCGGCTGATGCCAGCCTGGTGGGAGTGAAGCCCAACCTCCCAGGGCTGCCTCCAGTGGGTCCCGATCACGCAGAAAGGGGAGCACCTTTTCAATGGTTTGGTCATTAGCGTTAGCTGTCTGTCACTATTCGAGATTTACCCATTTTCAATAGCACTACTTCTCTTTTCATATTCATTTTTAGGAGCTATTTACTTACTTAAATGCTAAAGCACTGACAGTTGTGCATGTTGTAAAAATCTTCCCGTCTCTATGTCTTGCCTTTTCAATCTTTCATGATATCTTCTGATCCAATAAAGTTCTTAATCTAAACAAATACATCACTTTGTCCTGTGTGACTAGTGCACTTCTGTTCTGTTTACGAACCTTTCCTTATGTCGAGTCATTAAATGATCCACGTTGCCTGCTTTGACCTTGTCCTGCCTCTCACACTGAGGTCCCTACCCACCCGGAGTCGATGTTTGTGTGTGGTGTGCCAGGGACGTCTAATTTTATTTTTTCCCCTATGGTTAATGATCTGAGCACCATTTATGAACAGACCATCCTTTCTCTGCACCTCACACTAGCAGCGTGGTAAAACAAACAAAAAGGCGAGGGGGCAGTCCAGTTGTGCACAGAGCTGTTTCTGAGGCTAATTCCCTTCCTCTGGTCTGTCCACGAATTCAGGCCACGTCGTCTCAATTACTGCAGCTCCGCAGTGCGTCCCGACACCCGGCACAGCCAGCGCTCTCACTCTGCTCACCTCCCACACATTACTTGGCCTTTGGAATCAGCTCGTCAGTTTTCACTGCCCTCAAAGGAACATTTGTTCAGATTCTGACTAGGAATGAACATCTGAGTCTACCACGGTTTCTATTTATTTCTTTAATCTTCCTTACTACTTCTCAAAAACCTTTCATAACTTAACCCACTGAGCCCTTAAACATCATTTATTAGACTTGCAAATAGAAAAATGATACTTTTGAAGCTATGGTAAAGCTTCAAAACTTCATTTTCGAAGTGTTTGTTGCTAGGATATAGATGCAGAAGTGCCTTCTGTAGATTGATTTTTTATGTGGTAATCTTTCTCAATGCTCTAATTAGTGTTAATCTTTGTATTCTCTGAAATTGATAACTGTATTATCAGTAAATATCACTTTAGTTTCTTTTTTTAGTTTTACACCTTTATCTTATTTTCCTCCTTCCTCGTTGTACGATGTTAGAGACAAGCGGTGACAGGAAGCCAACCCAAATGCAAATCTTTCCCTTTACGTATGATGTTAGCTGGTCTTTTCTATAGCGCCATTTTCAAAATTGAGGAAGAACTCCTATATTTGCAGTCCACTAAGAATTTTATATCATGAAATGATGCTAAATTTTACCAAATATTTTTTCAGGATATACGTTAAATTTATCAAATATTTTAATCCTGCACTTATTGAGATAATCACATTTTCCTGTTTCAATATGTTAATATCAAGCCTAATTTTGACTTTCTAATATTTCCAATGTTAAAACAACCATACAATCTCGGCCTACAACTTCCTTCACAGTGTATTGTCCTGTTCACATATCACAACTTATTTGCCTAATTTCTTGTTTAGGATCCTGCCCTTGACGTTCATAAGGGATTGCCTGCGATTTTACTTCTGCATATTTTCCTTGTAAGATTTTGGTATTGATAGTATGCTAACTTCATAAAGTGGGTTGGAGAGTGCATCTCCTTTTTCTATTGCCTACAAGAATCTCCATGAACATGGAGTAATTTACCAGGAGGGCCACTGGGCGTGGGCCTTTCTCTATAAAAGCACTTTTTTTTATTACTGGTTCTGTTTCTTTAAAGATTATACGACTGTTTGAGTTTTCTGTTTCCCTTTGTGTCAGTTTTGATACAGCTTTCTAGGAATTAGCCAAATTGTTACAACTTTCACATTTTTACCATAAAATAATTTGTCATGTTCTCTTTAAATTATGTTTCCCAAAGACACACAGCAGGTCTTAGTATCTATACACACCCACAAACCACTGAGTACGTACAACACCACACTGTTTTGCGGTGGCACCAAGGAGTCAAACGTGGGATCGCAGTTCCCCCTAATATTTAATGTTAAAACACTTAACAACAACAAAAAATACACTTGTTTCCCAGCCTTCTCTGCGAGCCAGCCCGGGAGGCAGAGCCACAACCTCACCCCAGGAAATGCTGGGAAACCCACACTGCTCTATGGGTCAGGCCGCGGCCACGGGAACGCATCTCCAGCAACGCATGCCGAGGGAGCACAAGCTCCTTGCTCCTCTCCATTTCTAAGTTGATATACCAGACTCCAAGGGGAATTCTGACAGAGGACATTCTAACTGAAGACAAAAGGGAAACAAGCTTCGCTTTTAAAGGAACATCGCAACCTCGGACGCGCAGACCACAGGCGCATGTCCGCCAATGTCGGCTCCATGTGCACCTTGCAGACACTGTAGCGAGGCAGGGTCTAGATGCTGCCACACAGACGCAGAGAGAGCTTCTCCACGCAGGTGCGAGGAGGGGCCTTCGATACTCGAAGTGCAGTCCGCGATACTGCTGGCTGGGGAGCTGAAACTCCTCCTGATCCTTGGTCAGTGGGATCCAACATCTCGCAAGTGAGAACCTGCATGTGGTTCTAGGGGACGAACCTGGCAGCTGTCAGACCATCCAGGAGGAGGAAATAGACTCGTCCCACGGGAGAGTCGTCTGGTCTCCTTCAGACCCAAGAGCCAAGTTACGCAGAGTCTCGGACAACAAAGAACACCAGGCAGGTGCTGGGGACACCAGGCTGAGCCCCGCTGTGCTAAACACACTAGAGAAGGACGGACGGGCCTATCCTTCCTTCACACCATCCAGTCTAGCTGCCCTAGCCCAGCTGTGGGAGGAAAAGTAGGCAGGAAGCAGGATCGGAGCTGTGAGTGATGGAGAGAACACTAGGGATGATCTAGGCTCTGAATTGGTCCCGTCACCTCCACAAAAGACTAGTTTACCGCCCCAAGAACTGACCTGTGACGCCCAGGCGGAAGGAGACCTTCTGGCCCCCGGCCTCACAGCTGTACTCCCCGGCGTCCGCCTTCCCCGCCTGCTGCACCACCAGCCGCCGGGTGCAGCCCTTGGCCTCCACGTGCACTTTCGAGCTCGCACTCAGCTTCTTCCCGTCCTTGAACCACGTCACCTCCGTCTGGGCCTGGGCCACCTCGCAGCTCAGTGTGGCGCTGGCCCCCGCCTCGGCCTGCACCTCCTTGAGGGCTGGCTGCTCCTTGGCAAACACCACTGTGGGCTCTGGGGACAGAGAGGGACACGGGGTCAGAGACACCACCCACATCAGGAAGGCAGCACTGGGGAAAGAAGGCCTGGATGGGGGAGGCAGAGGGCTAGAAACTTCTCCAGGCTCTGCACCAGCTGAGTGGCCTGGGGAAGCCCCACTGCCCTCTCAGCAACAAACGACAATTTATCTGCGCATCCCAGCATGGTTCCATGAGGCTGTTCCAGGTGGGGAGGCTGTGAAAGACCCCGGTGCACATGGGATCTGGGGTCGTGAGGTAGGCACAGCCCAACCTCCTAGGGGACGCAGGGTCTTCTCCATGCAGCGAGCGTTCTCAGTGCAGTGCAGGCGAGGTCCTGTGGCTCCACGCTCTCGCCTCCCTCAGTGTCTCGGCTGACGGCAGCCTGGTGGGAGTGAAGCCAGACTTCCCAGGGCTGCCTCCAGTGGGTCCCGATGACACACAAAGGGGAGCAACTTCGATCCTTTGGCCATTACCGTTTCCTCTTCTGTGGTGTCCTGTTCAGTCTTTTGCCCAACTTTTAATAGCACTGTCTCCTCCTTATTCATTTTCAGGATCTCTTTATATGTTTAAGCGCTAGAGATTGACAATTAAGTATTTTCTAAGTATCTTATCCATCTGTACAATCTTCCTTTTCACTTCTGTGGCATCTTTGGATGAATTAAAGTTTTAGTTTTAACATAGTCAAATATGGGAAATTGTTCTATTTAAGAAATCTTTCCTTACTCTGAAGTCACTGAATAATCTATTTCATCATCTGAGGGTTTTATAGTTTTACCCTCCCACTGTGGTCTCTCACCGACCTGGAGTTCAATTTTGAGTGGAGTGCGAGTTACCTATGCAATTTTTTATATGATTAAGTGTTGAAAGCATTATTTATGAAAAGACCATCCTTCTCCACTGCCATATGGAAATAGAAGTGCTTTCTGCATATTGATTTTTTTACATGGTAATCTTTTTCAATCTTGTACTAACTATAATCGTTTAAGTTTTCTGACTTGATAGTCATATAACCTGTGCATTCCACTTATGCTTTTTCCAAGTTTTATAGCTTTTATTTTATTTTCCTCCTCACTCTGCTGTACAGTGGTGGGCAGAGGGGGTGACGGCAGCCTCCTCTGCTGCTCTCGTCCCAAAGGCAAAGCTCTCAGGTGCATGTTCAGTGTGCAGCTACCTGGTGTTTTCTGCAGAACCGTTAATCCAATGAAAGAAGGACACTTTTATTTCTAGTTTGTTAAGAATTTTACGGCATGAATTGATGCTAAATTTTATTAAACTTTACTTCTGGATTTACACTGCTATATTTTATCAAAGTTTTATTCTGCATTTATTGTGATAATCACATCAGTTTTTTCATTCAACCCATTAATGTCGTGATTTATATTGATCTGCTTAGGTTTCCAGAGCTAAACCAGCCTTGCATGATCCGGGACCACAACCTCCATCACAGTGTGTATCTTCTCCATACATTGCTGAATTCAGTTTGCTAATATTTTGTCTAAGATTTTGCCTTGATATCTATACTAGATTAACCTGTAATTTTAATTCTTGTCTCTCCCTTGTCATGTTTTGGTAACCATATTATGTTAACTACAGAGAACCATTTGGAGAATGCATCTCCTATTCTCCAGAAGAATCTCCATGAACATGGAGTAATTTCTTTTCAGAATATTTCATGTAATTTACCAGTAGAGCCACTGGGCTTAGATCTTTCTCTCTGAGAAGATTATTTCTTGTGGTTCCATTTATTTAGAAGGTTATAGGACTGTTGGAGTTGTCTGACTCTTCCTGTGTCACTTTTGATATAGTTGTCCAGGAACTGGCCAAATTGTCAAAACTTCTCCAATTGATTACCAGATTTTGCCAATCAAATTGATTATTAATTTGCCATATTCTCTTAAAATAATGTCAGACAAAGATACAGAATGCTGTTTTTGGTATCTGTGCACACTCGCAACCCATTATATACTGAAATCACACCAAACAATTATGTGTTGGCACCCAGAGGTCAGGGTAGGATCGCAGCCCCTGTTATTTGACATTAACAGTCTCTTAATGAAAGAAAAATAAATCTAGTCCTCAGACTTCTCTGTGAACCAGCCAGGGAGGCACACACAGTAACCATCAGGGAAATTCTATAAAATAAATACTGTGTTATGAGACAGTGGCTGCTTCTACTTCAGGAATTCATCTTTAACAAAGTGTGGTGCTGCAGTATAAGCTATTTACCGGTTTCTAAATTTCTAAATTTAAAAATCACACTCACTAGCAAGAACCCCCACATGGTGCAAGGTGAGGGATGTGAGAACTGCCAGAACATTCCACAGAAGGATAGTCACATATTCCCAGGTCAGAGACACCTGGTCTACCTCGAACCTCGAGCACCAGGTGGAGCCAGAGTCCTGGACACCAGGGACCACCAGGAAGAATCTGCTGGTGGCATCTTAAGGCTGCTGTAAACACGTGATTAAGCATTACTATATGGA